CAGATCCGAGAGGCAGAGGGGGAAGGAAAACTGAGTGCAGACAAAGCTCTGCCCAGAATGTATTGAAAGGACCAAATGAGCCCTTCAGAGCAGGGAGGGAAGGGTTTTTAGGGAGTGCTAGCAAGGAAATGTTCAGCTGTGCTGGCCTGCCCAGAGCAGAATGAACCCAGTGTTGTGTCAACAGGGTAAAAAGCAAGGACACCCAAGTGGTTTTCTGTCTGTGAAAGGACAAACAGGCCCAGGAAATGTATTTCAGCTTGGGGCTGCTGCTGAGAGCAGCCCAGGAGGAGAGGAGGGAGGAGAGTGGGGCTGGCAGGGGGGCACAGGGCAGAGCTGCTGCTGGAGAGGGTCAGTGTGACGTGCCTGGGACACCTGGGGAGCCCTGAGCCCTTCACAGGGGTACATTCACCACGGGATGTGGCAGTGATGTGTCTGCATGACCCTGGCATCAGGCAAGGTTTTCTCCAAGGTTTTTTCCTGAAGAAAGTGCTCTGTGCTTTGTTTAAAGAGCCCGAGGAGAAGCAGGGCACGGCAGGCAGTGCAGCTGTGTTTTCCTGCTGGTAATAGGTTTGGGCACCTCTGATTAGCTCATTAGATTCTATGACTAAGCCTATTTAGCTTTTAAGCTTGGCGCTGGGCTTGATGTGCTGATGGCTGCAGCTCTGCAATGGCCTCACTTTCCTTCTTGGCAGGGAGAGATATAGTTTATATATAATATAATTACATTATATTATATTATAGTTTATATGTAATATAATATAATATAATATTATTACATTCCCATCCAGGGGGTGGAATAGGATGAGCTTTAAGATCCCTTCCAACCCAAATCAAGCTGGGATTCTCTAATTCTGCCCTTGAGCAGCCACCGCAGGAAAGGAGGCGCCAGCACTGGGCAAACAGGAGAGGAGGGGGTGAACTGGTAAGGAGCAGGCGGGCACTGCCAGCAAAGGGCTCTGGCTGCTGCAGGAGCCACACAGCCAGGGCTGCTGGCATTTTACATCCTGGGCCTGCAGGGGCTGGGGCTTGGCAGGTTTTAGGTGATTTTATGTGGTCAAGGCTTGGCAGGTTTTGGTGATTTTACGTGGTTGTGGGTTGGCAGATTTTAGGTAATTTTATGTGGTCAAGGCTTGGCAGGTTTTGGTGATTTTACGTGGTTGTGGGTTGGCAGATTTTAGGTAATTTTATGTGGTCAAGGCTTGGCAAGTTTCAGGTAATTTTATATGGTTGTGGTTTGGCAGATTTTAGGTAATTTAATGTATCCAAAGCAGCAGCCTGGGGCAAGGGGGTGTCACCCTGAGGCAATTCCTGTGCCCAGAGCTGGGCCCTGGCATCATCCCTGTGTGGCACCACAGGGTCACAGGCTGGGCCAGGGCAAACAGCTCCCTGGGTCCTCCCTGCTCCCTGGGGCCATCCCGAGGCACAGGGCTGTGTCCGGGTGATTTGGGAATCTCTCCAGCCAGCCATCCTGTGCCCAGAGCTGGGCCCTGGCATCATCCCTGTGTGGCACCACAGGGTCACAGGCTGGGCCAGGGCAAACAGCTCCCTGGGTCCTCCCTGCTCCCTGGGGCCATCCCGAGGCACAGGGCTGTGTCCGGGTGATTTGGGAATCTCTCCAGCCAGGGTGACTTGGTCTCTGATAATTAACTTTTTCCTTAATAAAGTCCTTCCTCCTGTCCAGGTGGGACTCTCTGGGCTCGGTCCCCCGGAGCAGAGCTCGGACCCTGCTCGGAGCCTCCCTGCCAGGCAGGGGTGAGCTCCCTTCCCACCCCGAACAGCCCCAGTTCGCTGCCAGGGGGATGCTCCCGTCCTTCCTCTCTGTCACCCTCCTGTCCCCGCTCGCGATGTCGCTGTCCCCGCTGCTCTGAGGGGCCCGGCGCTGTCCGCAGCAGTCCCGAGGTGCCTGCGGAGGGTCGGGATGCCATTCCCGGTGCGCTGCCCCCGCTCCTCCCGGCGCGTCCCCAGGAATCCCCCGCTCGGTGACACGGGTGACGTCACCGGCGTCGCCGTCTCCGCGGCAACGGGGGGCGCGCCGCGCCACGTGACGGCGCGCGGCGCCACGTGACGCGCGGGAGCTGCTTCCGGGTCGATGCGGGACAGGCGACAGCGGGCCTGGGTGAGCGGGGCCGGGGGCGGCGGGGACCGCGGGCATGGGCGGCAGCGGCCACAGCGGCACCCCCGGCACCGCCCGGGCCCGGCCCCGCCCGCCGCGCCGTGCGGGAGGCCGCTGTCGGCCGGGGCCGGCCCAGGCCGTGTGGGGGACAGCGACAGCGAGTGTGAGGGGCGGGCAGCGGCCTCGGCGCGGGAAGGAGGCGGCTGCGGGCTCGTGGTGCCCCGCACGGACGGGGGTTTGCGGCGGGGAGTGGTCGCTGCCGCGGGACAGCGGCACAGGGGGCACAGGGGCCAGTCCGGGTGTCCCCGCGGGCTCTGGGGCTGCTCAGCGCAGTGCCGGCATGGAGAGCAAACAGCCCCGCTGCGCTCCGCGACGGGGCGGTGACAGGGTCACAGCGGGTGGCTTGTCCTGCCGGGCTGACACAATCCCTGGGAAATCCCGCTGGGATCTCCCTGCCCAGAGGAGGGGGGGACTGCACGTCCCCTTCCAGCCCAAAGCTTCTGTGGTTCCCTCCTCTGCCCCACCCCCGAGAGCATCTCAGAAATAATCTGCCTGAATCACGTCTCGGGGGGTCGGTGTGGCCGCTCCTTGCAGGCGGGTGTTGGTGCAGTCCATCCTTGCTCACACCCCGGGAGGGGTTTGCTGTGTGCCTGTGCGGGATGTGCCCCCGAGGCCTCCGAGTGCCGCTGGAATGGCATTAGCGTGCCATTAACGATGTCGTTCTCCTGAAGGGTCTCTTCTCCTGAAAAGCTCGGGGGATGGAAACGTTTTCCGTGCTGGTTTCAGTGTTCTCCTTTTCACCCATCAGCTGGAAATGTTTTCCATGTTGGTTTCAGAGTTCTTTCACCCAACATCTGGGAATGTTTTCCCTGTTTGTTTCAGTGTTTTCCCTTCTCCCATCAGCTGGGAATGTTTTCCGTGCTGGTTTCAGAGTTCTTTCACCCAGCATCTGGGAATGTTTTCCCTGTTTGTTTCAGTGTTTTCCCTTCTCCAGTCAGCTGGGAATGTTTTCCATGCTGGTTTCTGAGTTCTCTCTTCACCATCACTTGGGAATGTTCTCTGCGCTGGTTCCAGTGTTCTCTCTTCATCCATCACTTGGGAATGTTTTCCATGCTGGTTTCAGAGTTCTCTCTTCACCATCAGCTGGAAATGTTTTCCGTGCTGGTTTCAGTGTTCTTTTTTCACCCATCACTTGGGAATGTTCTCTGTGCTGGTTCCAGTGTTCTCTCTTCATCCATCACTTGGGAATGTTTTCCATGCTGGTTTCAGAGTTCTCTCTTCACCATCAGCTGCAGCAGCACACTGGGTTTCCCTGGATTCAATCTCAAGGCAGGTCAGACTCTTCCCAGAGCCTTCCCAGTGCTGCTTCCAGCCTGGGAATCCCAGCACAGGAAGGATGTGGAGCTGCTGGGGAGAGTCCAGGGGGTCAGAGGGGAGCTGGGAGAGCTGGGGTTGTTACCTGAGAGGAGAAGGTTTGGGGTGACCTCAGGGTCACTCCCAGTGCTTGCAGGGAGACAGATGGAGAGGGGCTATTCCCAAGGGCCTGGAGTGACAGGACAGGGGGGAATAGCTTCAAAGTGTCAGAGGGTGGCTTTAGGCTGGATATTGGGGTGAAATTCCTCCCTGTGAGGGTGGCAGGCCCTGGCACAGGGTGCCCAGAGCAGCTGTGGCTGCCCCTGGATCCCTGGGAGTGTCCAAGGCCAGGCTGGATGGGGCTGGGAGCACCCTGGGACAGTGGAAGTTGTTGGAACAAGATGATTTTTAATGTCCCTTCCAACCCAAACCATTCTGGGATTCTTGTCCTTCCTCACTGGGGTCACAGCCCTGCAGCAGAGCACTTAAACATGACAACAAAGGCTCTTTGTTGCCACCTCTCAAAGCCCAAGTGCCTCGTGCTGTCATTTAGAAAACCCAGAGTTATTTTGAGCCCTGAATTGTCCCTGGTGCTGTCAGCAGGGCCACGCTCAGAAACGTGCACCTTGCAGGTCACCTTGTGCTGCCAGCATTCCCCTGGAAGCTGTCATTCCCTCTGCACATCCTGCTGCCAGGCAATTGTGGGGACTCAGAGAAGCCACAGATGATTGCCTGGAATCCCAGGGGAGGGGAGCTGGGAAAGGTGACTGCCCCACTCCACAGCAGTTTTGTCATCTCACAGTGGCACTGCTTTTCAAAAGCCAGTGGAAGTTGTTGGAACAAGATGATTTTTAATGTCCCTTCCAACCCAAACCATTCTGGGATTCTTGTCCTTCCTCACTGGGGTCACAGCCCTGCAGCAGAGCACTTAAACATGACAACAAAGGCTCTTTGTTGCCACCTCTCAAAGCCCAAGTGCCTCGTGCTGTCATTTAGAAAACCCAGAGTTATTTTGAGCCCTGAATTGTCCCTGGTGCTGTCAGCAGGGCCACGCTCAGAAACGTGCACCTTGCAGGTCACCTTGTGCTGCCAGCATTCCCCTGGAAGCTGTCATTCCCTCTGCACATCCTGCTGCCAGGCAATTGTGGGGACTCAGAGAAGCCACAGATGATTGCCTGGAATCCCAGGGGAGGGGAGCTGGGAAAGGTGACTGCCCCACTCCACAGCAGTTTTGTCATCTCACAGTGGCACTGCTTTTCAAAAGCTCGAGGAAGAAAATGTTGGGGGTTCAAAGCTGTTGGATGTAAATGTCAGTAGTTTTTCTTCTCACTTCTGGATTGCTCTCACTCTGCAGCTGAAAACGTCATTTTTTTACCTCTAAGGTGAGTTTCTCCTGTGGAATTTCCAGCTGATGTTTGTTCAGCAGACAAAGAGGGATGGAGCAGATGGAAAAGCCACGTGAAGGACAGAGGGCTTTATGCACAGGGGAGTTCCAGAACTTCCAGAGCAGGAGGTCTGAATGGGTGTTTGGAAATGTCTGTCTGTGGATGGAGCTGAGCTCCCAAAGCGCTCTGGAAGTTTCAGCCTAAAGCCTTGGTTTAGCCTAAGACTAAACACCTTGTTCCTATCAAACTCCAGTTTGAGGATTTATTTTTTGATGCTAGATAGAGTAGTGACATGAGCCAAGTTTGAGCTATGAATCAACCAAGCTGTTGAGAGATAAAAGTTGGGGTTTTTTTTGGTTTTTTAAAGACTAATCCTGTAAGTCCCTATTTGTGACATTTAAACTTTATATAGAATACAAAAATTATGACATGCTTCAGTCAGATGCTGCTTATTGTACTCAAATCCTTTTGGTTGGTGGGTTTGAGGTAGTCTGGTCATGAAGAAGTGAAGTGGAAATTGTTAAGCAGGTGATTCTCAGCAAAGGGAGCTTTAGTGAAATCACTTTTGTTTAGAATTTTATATACCTTTATATCCTTGCCTGTAACAAGTCTAGGGGAAAGAAATTTTAATTCAAGATTAGCAACATGGCTTGCAATGAATGTGTGGCCCAAGTCTGAGTTTTTAAAATGTGATTTTGCAGTAATTAGTGGAAAAGCTGCCCTGTGACTAATTGTGCAGTGTAGGACACCTGCACATTCCTGCACGTTCAGGATTGTGATGCTGTGATGGGTAGCAGGCCTAGGAGACCTCTGCAAACAGCAATCTCTTCATTCATGAGCCAAGCTCTGCTTTGTTTTGCGTTCCAAACCCATCAAATGCCAGGTTCAGAGCGTGCACAGGGACACAGGGCAGAGACAGAGGCTGGGTCCCACTGGCCATGGGGGGATCCTGGTGCCAAAGACACTTCCAGCTGACTCTCAGTATCTCTCCAGGCAGCTCCAGGCCAGGCCTCCTTCCTGTGCTGCTCTGTGCCATGCCCAGATACGAAGGGCACAGTTATTATCTCCCAGCTACATTAGGCAGCTGCAGAGTGGAGTTGGCAGGAATTGCCTTTCGGCCTGGCCAGACGGTGTTTGGTGACACAGCAGAAAGGGGAAGTTGGCAAACAGCTGTTGGAGCAATCTCCTGCTCACAAACAGCTGGTTGCTCCTTCCCCTCCTGGCTGCCCTGGAGAGGTGTTTGAGAGGAGCTGTGGGTTTCTCACAGTCCTCGTGGGAGGGCAGAAGTGACAGGTACAGAAGTCACCTCCTGCAGCCTGGAATTGTCCTGGAAGAGCACCTGGGGTAAGGAGGTCTTGAGCTTGGCCTGTAATGCTGTGTCTGTACAGCACCAAATCTTCTGCCTTTGTGTTCTTTTCAAGTAATGTTTTGCTTTAATCCTGAATTTGAAATAGGACCTGTCAGATCTGGAGCTCAGAAATAAAACCTGTGACCCATCTCCTTGCTTCCCCTGTGCTCTCAAGCACCACTATTAGAAGTGAATGTAACTTTCTGACTGCTCATGTGCTCTGTTTTTCTCTTCTCTAACCAGAAGTCCAAGAAGGGAGCATGGACCAGCCCAGTGGAAGGAGTTTCATGCAAGTTCTGTGTGAGAAATACAGCCCTGAGAACTTCCCCTACCGCCGTGGGCCCGGCATGGGGGTGCATGTCCCAGCCACTCCACAGGGCTCACCCATGAAAGGTAAATTCTGATTTTCTGAGCATCTGGGGGGTGCTGGGAGGAATCAGCTGAAAGAGGAATCACCTTGGATTGCCCAGAAAAAGAACCATCACAATGTGTTTTTTATTGGAGAGTTGAGACTGGAATCTGACAATGGGAGAAAGTGACTGAACTGATTGTTTTAAAAATCCAAATTTCTCTACAGCATGACAGAATCAGAATTAGAGAATAGAAGAAAATAGAATAATTTGGGTTGGAAGGGACCTTCAAGATCACCAGGTTCCAGCCCTGTGAGGGGAAGATGGACCTAAGGCCCTGTGCAGTCTGTTTTGAGGGTTCAACTTTCCTTCAGACCACTGATGCTATTTTATTATTGGCTGCACAAATTAGAATAATTTGGGTTGAAAGGGACCTTCAAGATCACCAGGTTCCATCCCTGTGAGGGGAAGATGGACCTAAGGCCTGTGCAGTCTGTGTTTTGAGGGTTCAACTTTCCTTCAGACCACTGATGCTATTTTATTATTCTGGCTGCAGCAACAGATTTTGGCAGAGGTGGCTTAAAAATACATAAAATATCTAAATTTGAGGTTGGTTCCCATGCCACCAGCTTGCTTTGATGCCTGCAGGGACAGGAGCTCAATGTACACAGGAGGGGACATATTTCAGGCAGAGTGATGAGTTGTTGAATCTCTGCTTTTGTGCCAAGTGCCTCAGTTGAACTTGCAGTGTACTTTGTCTTCTCGAGGCACCAAATGCTTTGTGACCTAGTGGAGAATTCCCCTCTCCTGTGCTCCTGACCTTGCTGCCTGCAGGGAATTTAGCCAGGTGTGTGTCTGAAGCTCTGTGCTGCTCGTGGATGTCCTTGAGCCTCCCAGACTGCAGAATCTGTGTCACCATCTCCTCTGAACTAGATCCATGTGACACCTTTTAGTCTTCCCTCACGCTCTGATGTTGGCATTTAATTCTTGGTTTGTGCGGGTGGGACTGAGATTCACATTGATCCCATCAGAGCTGCCCCTTCTTTGTGTCACACATCCTGCCCATCATCATCTGTAGGAGTGATCCAAACTTCCATCAGGTCAATTTGTGTCATAACCAGCCCCAAAGGGGAAAATAGCCATGGAAATCAGCTGGATGAAGTTTCCAATAACTGGGTTTGACAGAGGAGAAAAAAGGGCCTGAGTTCAGCTGAGGATGCAGCACTGAAAATGAACAAGAACAGAAAAATGGCCTGATGGAATGTTCAGTCAGTGCCTTCTCTGCAGGTAAATTTACCTCTCTCCTGCTCACCTGAGCTGTTGGGGTGCTGAAAAGAGGCCACGTCTTAAAACGTGACTGAAACCTGACTTACAAGTGCTGCATTAGTAATTCCCAAAGTGCCACACTGTCCTTTAAAGAAACCAAACACTTCTGAGCCAGAAAACTTGGAAACCCAGATGACTGCAGGTGATTGTTTGCTGCCAGAATCCCTTTCTAGCTGTGCAGCTGTCAAGTATTAAGGAGAAAAGGGGCCACCTATTTAGGAAAAAGCTTGTGGTTGGATTTTAATAATTGTTTGCTGCTAGAATCTCTTTCTAGCTCACAGCTGTCAAGTGTTAAGGAGAAAAGGGGCCACCTATTTAGGAAAAAGCTTGTGGTTGGATTTTAATGGATTTTCCTGCTCCAGAGAGGTGGGAATCACGTTGTACATGAAGGGGTGTAAGACTGATGGCTTGCCTTGCCTCAACATGGTGGAAATTGTTTCGGACAAGAAACTCCCAGATTCTTGTCATGGTTTAGCCTTAGCACAGCAGGCTGGGATTGAGGTCCAAGTTCTTACTTGATGCTTTGAGTACATTTACCTGTCTGAGGAAGAGCTGGAGCAAAACCAAAGCAGAAATGGAAAGGCAGAGCAGAGACCATTTTTGAATGAATGCTGAATGCTCTACATTGAACCTTGGCAAGGGAAAGCTTAGAAAGGAAATGTTTAAATGCCTCCTAAGAAATGTTTAAATACCTCCCAAGAAATGTTTAAATACCTCCTAAGAAATGTTTAAATACCTCCTGGCTGTTACTAGGCCCAGGTGGGCTCAGGGCAAGAGGATAAGGGAGTCTGAGTGTGCAGCTGACACTCCCCTAGGCCTGTGTCCTATCTGCAGCAGCAGCTGCTGGGGAAGAGCAGAAGCTGTGCAAGGACTGATAGGAGACAAGCCATAAATGACAAAGGACAGGCCTGAAATACACAGAAACACATGGAAGAACTGAAGGGCACTGATAGGAGTGGTACTTCGTGTTTACAACCAAGCTTCAGGATGGTGTCGGTACAAAATCCGTGTTTAACCTGAAATCGGTGTCAATTCCGACATGACTGGTGGATTTCTCCTGCTGGCTGTACCATCCGTGTTTGGGGCTGGGCTCTGTGACTCCAGGGCAGTGCTGAGCACAGGCAGCTTGTGTTTTTCCCTGTGCCAGACCGCCTGAACCTGCCCAGTGTGCTGGTGCTCAACAGCTGTGGCATCACCTGTGCCGGGGACGAGAACGAGATCGCCGCCTTCTGCGCCCACGTCTTTGAGCTCGACCTCTCTGACAACAAACTGGAAGACTGGCACGAGGTAAAATGGTGATGGGCACCTCACTGGGTACCTTTCACAGCTATTACTGACTGCAAATGCGTTGCATTGATGAGAGTTCCATTTTTGTGGCTCCTTTCTCATCTCTGAAGGTGATGTTTATGTACTTTGACAGCAACTGAGCAATACATGTGATGAAATTAATCCAGTGTGGCACTTCACTCCTGGACCTTGTGACTTTCAGTCTTGGCCTGTGGGTGAAAAATCTGTATTTTTATTTTATTTCATCATGCAAAGCACTGGAACTGGCATTTCTAGCACCAAGAAGTTAGTGAGCAGTTTAGTTTTTAACAGAGTGGCAGTTGATTCCCAGCTTTGCCACTGTGATAAGGTGCAAGGTATTTATTCCCTCTCCACATTTGCTGCCTTATCTGCAGAACAGATTTAATAATATTTACCACAAAGGGTATTTCTGCAGCCTCATTAATTAATGCTAAATGCTGTTGTAAAATCCTTTGAAGTGCTTGGGTGAAATAATGCTCAATAAATGCAATGTAACAGGAGTGAAACAATCTCAATCCATTCAAGTGTCATTAAGATCCTCACTGGATTATGCTGTCCTTTTATGTTAGTGTTTATTGTTGAAAATATGTGGGAAAAAAACCAGGATATCATGGGTTTTTGTGCCATCAGATTGTCCTGTCTTTAAGCAGGGGGAATGCAGTGTTTGCAGTGTCCAGCCCAGTGGGGCTGACCTCATACCTGGTCATGCACTGGTCCCTCACAAGCTGCACATCTCACACCCTGCTCTGTGTTCAGTCTCCTCAGGCTGCCCTGGAACTGAAAGGCTCCTGTGTGTGCTGGCCCCTTCCTCTGAGCCAGGATTAGGTTTTCACAGCCCATCCACAGCAGATAAATATCTCCCCACCCCTAAAACCTGCCCGTGCTGGGGATTCCAGATCCCTGGTAGCCTATTCCCATGCTTAGCTAATAACCTCATAGGCTAAACTGTGTAATTTAAGTCTCCTGTGCTGCAATTTCAGCCAATTTCTGCCTGCCCTGTTCTCATCAGGCAGGAGGAGCATCCTCACTGTTCCTCATACAACAGCTTTTCATACCCACTAAGAAGAACTTTAATGCCTCCTTTCCTTATTTTAGTATAATACTGAACAAAAATACCCTTCTTCCAATCATCCATCATAAACCATTTTTTCCTAAATCCTTTTTGCTGGACTGATGTCATCCAGTTTGCCTTCTTAATTCCTGAGGTGCAGCACCCAAACCATGACATCACCTGAAGGAGGCGGGGAGTGAGGCAGACTCACTACACACTTGAGTTCATGAGACAATCCCCCTTTGCCATTTATTGACCTCTGTGTGCCATGGTGTGCCCATCCCAGAGCTTTGTGGAGTGGAGCTCTCCAGCCAGCTCTTCTCTGGCTCACAATTATTTTCTGCATTGATGCCTGCTGGTGTTGGAAGCTCTTCCCACTCAGTTCCCCAGTCAAGGAGGGAATTGGGGAGTGGCTGAGCTCTGTGGGAGCAGTGGGGAGCTGGACAAGTGCTCAGTGCTGGCCGTGGTGGCAGGAAAAGTGTCCATGGCCCCCTGTGAGCAAGGCTGGCTCTGGAACGTGCAGCTGCTCAGCCTTGAGGTGGATTTATGACCTCTCCCAAGAGACTGCCTTTCTCTTATCAAGCTGCTCCTACAGTGTAATTAAATGAACTCTTGAGGAGAATGAGCAATTAACCAATCCATCTAGATCAGGAGTGGCTGCAGTATGAATTACAGGTAGATATCCCTATGTTTGTCCCTATATCTCTGCTTTGTGATGATTCCACAGGGCCCCTTTTAGGAGGTGAGATATTATTGCCAGAGGTCTGATTACTGCCTGATACACATTTCTTTCTTTCTGGTTTTTTTTTTCTTCCCTCCCCACTTAGGTCAGTAAAATTGTGTCCAACGTCCCCCACCTGGAGTTTCTAAACCTGAGTTCCAACCCTCTCAGTTTGTCCGTTTTAGAGAGAAGTTGCGCTGGGTCTTTCGCTGGCGTCCGCAAACTTGTGCTCAACAACAGCAAAGCTTCCTGGGAAACAGTGCACACCATCCTGCAGGAATTACCTGAGTAAGCCTGGGAATCTGGGGTTTGCTGCACTCAGGTCAAGGCTGGGTTATGGGGTCGTGTGGTGAGGGGTGAGGGGGCTGTGAGGATGCAAACATCAGTAGAGAAAAAGGGATGTTTGCCTTTGGGAGTTTGGGAACTCCAGGTGAGTGCTTCACATTGTCCTAAAAACCAAACTTGGGTGGTGCTGCAAAGCCCAGGCCTTCTCTTCCTCCAAACCTAAATACCAGAGATGGGTAGTGACCCCAAAAATGTAGGAGGGTCACACTTCCCTCTGAGTCACTGTGCAGTGAATGGTGCAGGACATTCCTGTTAAATGGGAGGTACCTCTGAGGGTCTGGCCACTTGTCAAGGAATATTTCATCCTGTTTTTCTGTGTTGATTTCTGTGGTTTGGTCACGGGCCACCTTGGCATTGTGCTCCCATGGGTGTCCTCAGTGGCTTCATTTTGATGACAGATCCCTCCTTGTGTGGCTTTGTGAGCAGAGATGGTGACAGCAGAATGTCCTGCATGGCCAGTTTACACTTCTCTGGGATTGTGAGAGTTCAGTTGTCTGAAACTTAGTGGGACCTGTTCTTTCTTTATAGGGATCTGTTCTTTCTTTAATGGGAATCTTTGGCAGTGATGTGGGGAAAAAATCCTCATCAGCGTTGTATCAAAACCCCTTAATTTTAAATTAAGCTGAGAGCACTGGCAGCAGGTCCCAGTCACTGTTGGAGCTGGGTTGGTGGCTTGTTGGGCACAGAAGCAGAAGACAACCCCAACCAATCTGTTACACAATACTGGCAGAGACTCAGGGAGCACTAAAAAGGTTTTTTTAATCTCTGAAAATATGCATGGGAGCACAGATGAAATATTCTATGTGGAGTGCTCAAAGGCCTGCTCTGCACTGAGGTTCTCAGAGCTGTTACAGAAAGTTGTGTTAAAATAAAATAAAATTGGTGATGTGATCCTTTCTGCCCTGTGCAGCTTGGAGGAACTCTTCCTGTGCCTTAATGACTACGAAACAGTGTCTTGTTCTCCAGTTTGCTGTCAGTCTCTCAAGCTACTCCACATAACTGACAATAATCTTCAAGACTGGACTGAAATTCGAAAGTTGGGAATTATGTTTCCATCACTGGACACACTTATCCTGGCTAACAACAACCTCACCACCATTGAAGAGTCAGAAGATTCCCTGGCAAGGCTTTTCCCCAACCTAAGATCCATCAACTTGCACAAGTCAGGTGAGAGTCTGGAAGCTGGGACGGGTTTTGTTGCTCTGTCAGAGTCTCTCCTCTGCATGGATGACAAGCAATGAACTTGCCCATCTGTGGGATTTTCCTGCTGCTTTGGGTAGTCAGTCATTATCAAAGGATGAGTCAGAGCAGTGTGGACCAGTTAATCAAAATGAGCTGGGAAGGTTTTTTATGTTGGTAGTTTCCCTCTGTTTCCCATCCCTGCCTCAGGTACTCCTGGCTGGGGAAGGATAAATAAATGTCTGGCAGTGGAGGGGATGAAAGAATCCCATTTTCCCTTTATTCCCTGTTTTATCTCGGGTAAAATGAGGGCATGTGCAGGTGTGCAGTGTGGATCAGGCATCCCCCAGCAGAATCTGTGCTCAGTCATTACAGCCTCACAAGTGATGCTGGCAGCTGCTTTTACACTCCAGCCCCAGAGAATTTTCAGCCAACGCTCCAGAAAGAGAATGAGCAGTTGGAATATTGGGAAGAGCACCCTGTGCTGGCAGAGAAGGAGCTGCAGGGCAGCTCGTGGGGGCTGTGATGTGTTTGTGTATGACACATACACCAGGAATTCATCTGCAGGAGTGCTTCATGCACCAGCAGCTTTTGTTCTTTACAGCTTTATATGCTGTGCAAGTGCTGCTGAAGTGTCAGGCAGGTAGAAGGGACTTTATTAACATGCCCTACAATGTAAGCATCAAGGAATCCCTGTAATAAAAGCTTAACTAGAGGAGGAAAAGCCTGTTAAGCTGCATTTGAAAGCACTGTCTCACCGAGGAACAAGTGCTCTTCTGGTAAGTAGTTTTGCAGTTTTGATGCCAGGTGCTTAAGAAGTGTGGGCTCTGTCTTGCATTTTGATGTTTTGGGAGCTGAAAGTCAAATAGGAATCCCAAGGAGCTTGTTAAAACTTTTTTGGGGGTTTTAAAGAAAGCTGCTGCAGTTCTGGCAGGTGAGGACTCCAAGATGAGTTGTGTTGATCTCACCACAGAAGCATGGCTCTGCTGTGCTCAATCCTCAGCTTAGTTTTATTTTGCCCTCCCTGCCTTCTTTGTTATCCCAAATGTCAGGTCTTGAGGGGGCTGAAAACAAGTTAAAACATTTTTCCTTAAATGGCTGGATGGCTTCTGGGACTGTTTCACCACTGGGTTGTGAGCATAAATGGGACCCAAGGTGGTTGTGTATGTGAGGTAAAGCCATTTGATGGCTGTTTAGTGATGCCTAGAATGAAAGAAGTGCTGGTGGCTTCAACACTCTGAAGGCAGCATCCCTTTATAGACACAACATCACTGATGCTGGTCAGTCCCCAGCAGTGAGGCCAAAGGCTGAGTGGTCCATAAAAAAGCCATGGAGAGCATCCTTCTACACTTGGAAACAGCACGAAAATTTCAGCTTCTCTCTCTTGTAAGCAAATGTCGATTTTTTTTAGCAGCACATTGTGAGCAAAAAGCCAACTTCTCAAAGGAGCAGCAGTGACACTCTCCTGTCACATATGTTCTTTGGCTGTGTCTGATTATCTTGGATCCATGGTGTGTTTTCTGTGTTTGTTAACACAAATCTTTCCTCCTGAGCAGGTCTGCATTGCTGGGAAGACATTGACAAGTTAAATTCTTTCCCGAAGCTCGAGGAAGTGAAATTGCTGGGAATTCCTCTGCTGCAGTCTTACACCACCGAGGAACGCAGGAAGCTGCTAATAGCCAGGTCTGATGGTTTGTTCTGCTCAGCAGAAGCATGACAAGGCAAAGAAGGGGTGGGAGGAGGTGATCAGAGGAAGAAGCTGGCAGGAGATGAAGTTCTGTGCGAGTGCAGAAAGATTGGAGCTTGATTTGTTGGGTGGGAGCAGCTCATCAGAGGAAGAGGTTGGTAGGAGATGGAGTTCTGTGTGAATGCAGAAAGATTGGAGCTTCTTTGGTGGAAAAGTCAGAGAAGTGAAAATCTTAAATCTGCTCTGCTTCTCAGGGGATTTGGTGAGGCTCCTACAAACCTGTGCACATGTGAGGCATATCTGTAGTGAAATGAAAATGCCTAATTTTGGATGTTCTTGAAAATTACATGGAACATTCCCGCTCTCTCAAAGGGATCAAGGCCTGAGCTTCCTGGCAGGAATTGCCATGGTGTTAAAGCTGAGGCACTTGGACGTGCCAGCCTCTCTGGGCCCCCCTCCTGGCTGACTGTGGCTCTTGGTGTGTGCCTGCAGGTTGCCATCCATCACCAAGCTCAACGGCAGCATCGTGGCCGACGGCGAGCGGGAGGACTCGGAGCGCTTCTTCATCCGCTATTACATGGAGTTCCCCGAGGAGGAGGTCCCCTTCAGGTAGGAGTTCTCTGTCCTGCAGGGCACAGCAGGGACAGAAGGGTGGTGACTGGCCATGTGATGGGAAATATGTGCCAGTTGTTCCATGAAAAAAACATCCCTCACCTTCCTCCTGTCTCCTTCAATCTGTTTGGGCTGCAATTGTTGTGTTCTTGTTGTCTGGTGACATGTGGGGTCACTCCTGAGTCAGATTTGGTCTTTGAAGTGTGTCAAGTGCCATGAAACAACAGGACTGTTCAGTTCATGACCTTCATTGTTTCCTGGCCTCTCCCTCAGCTCCCCTCATAATCCACCTGTGTTTGGGAGTGCCCAAAGCCAGGACACATCGTGCTGTGCACTGCCAGGCCAGGGCATCTAATCCTCTGCACCATCTGGTGTGTGCAATGTGCCTGGCAATGGGAAGCTGTCCCCTCACTCTCAGGCCTGCAAATCACAAGTCTGATGGGTTTTCTTTGCCAAAAAAGTACATCCAATGATCCGTTCATCTTGGTAAACTAATGAACTTGGACAGATGCTGTTCAGTCTGGATCTTTTTTGTGCCAGCATCCACTTACTGCTTCTAATGGGCTGAGGAGGGATCATGGAGCATCAGACCACTGCCTTTACCTGCCCTCTGCCCTAAACCCTCACGTGCCTTTGGAGAGCAAAGCTTTATTATCCTTTTTTTACTGAAAAGGGGTAGGACAGGATTGTATGTGTGACTCTGAGGGCACAGATAGAGGTGGGGACACACTGAAGGTCACAGGTATGGCCTGGCATGGATGACAGAGGTGCAAATGGCATCTGCTCAGTGTTTTCCTCTGCTTAACTCTCATCTAAAATGCCTCTTGTTTTTCTGAAGCACTGGATATGTGACTTGCCAATCCAGTAAGGGGGTGGGAAGGCTGGAATGGGGAATGAGGGCATGGCATTTCGTGTGAATGTTAATAGGGTCAGTGATTATAATATTTGTTAAAAGCATGCTGGGGTCAGTTCAGAGTCAGAGAGCACTCATGCAGTCAGGGAGACAAGACAGCTGGTCCTTTTCCTGAGGACAAGTCCTGACTCAGCAAAGCTTTATTATCCTTTTTTTTTATTGAAAAAAGGTAGGACAGGAGAGTGTGTGTGACTCTGAGGGCACAGACAGAGGTGGGGACACACTGAAGGTCACAGGTATGGCCTGGCATGGATGACAGAGGTGCAAATGGCATCTGCTCAGTGTTTTCCTCTGCTTAACTCTCATCTAAAATGCCTCTTGTTTTTCTAAAGCACTGAATATGTGACTTGCCAATCCAGTAAGGGGGTGGGAAGGCTGGAATGGGGAATGAGGGCATGGCATTTCGTGTGAATGTTAATAGGGTCAGTGATTATAATATTTGTTAAAAGCATGCTGGGGTCAGTTCAGAGTCAGAGAGCACTCATGCAGTCAGGGAGACAAGACAGCTGGTCCTTTTCCTGAGGACAAGTCCTGACTTGTAATTTTTAGAGGGTCTTGAAGCGTAAAAATGGAAGGAAATATTGGAAGGGATAACAGCAGAGACAGAGAATGCAGGAGAGAGAAAGGGGAAGGGGAGGTGGGACTGTGAGCTCATGGTGCTGCTCCCAAAAGGGATTAATTTCCATAACATTTCATATTTCTTGTGTTTGGTGGTGACAGAATGTCAGTGATCCATATATTGCTGGGAAGGACACAGTGGGGTGCAGCTTTAGGCACCCATGATGCCTAGAACATGGATTTTGGGAGCAGGCTGTGAGTTACACATCACCAGACACCACTGGGATTGGTTTGCAGGTGGGATCTTATGTAAAAGATCACTGACATCTCACCCATCCTAGAAAACCAGGCTGATTTTGACCAACATGCCAGCTTTCTGCTAGAAAAATTACCTCCCCCTCAGATTTCTTACCCTTTAAACACTGGTACTGCCTTTCTCATGGTCAATGGCCTCTTTGTCCAAATCCCTTCATCTGTGCAGCGTTTCCAAGAGACTTCTGCAGCTACCAGGGATGGTTGTTCTGTCCTGGAGGACAGAACAGACTCTTTTCTAGTGAGGCTGCAGATGGCTCAGTGTCCCCAAGGCTGGGTTGCAGTTCCTGGACCCACAACCAGCATTCCTTCTCCAAAGGGAGAGCTGGCATTCCTTGCAGAGGGATTTTGGGTCTGTTTGTTGCTAAAGCTTCCCCTTCCTCGCTCCCAAATCTGGTGTGGTGGCTCCAAAAGTGGTTTGCAATTAGGAACTAATCAGGACACACATGTTGTGGCTGGGGTCTGACATCTGCATTGCAGTGCTGCCTGGAGCAGAGGGAGAACAACTTGAGCAGGGAAAACTTGCCAGTGGGAGCAGCCCCCCTCCAGACTGGCAAGGTGCAGCCTGTGATAAGCTCTGTCACCAGAACCCCCCTGCCTACTGCATTGCTGTCTGCAGCTGGAAGGGATCAGGCAGGCAGGGAAATGGAAGGAACAATTTATCTCAGTGGATGTCGTGGTTACAGGGAGCACAATCCAATATTGGCTGTCTTGTGGAGTGACGTCCTCGTGTCTGGGGGGTTTTAATGAGCCCTCTGCTTGTCTGCTCCACTGTTTATCTGCAGAGTATCACAGACACTTTCAGCCAGGCTCAGGTCTTCAGCAGCCTCAGCGTCTGCCAGGCTGCAAGGGGCGATTAGAAAAGTCTCCAGGGTGCCTATTATTGGGGTCCAAAATATCCATGTACCAATCTGCCTTGGTCCTGATTGATTTGAGCCAGTCACTCACACTCCCCACTTTCTTTGCAGCTCACATTCTTTCACATTCTTTCTTTGCAAAGCTCATTCTGCCCACCCTCAACAAAAGAAAATGTCACACAGCATTGCTTGACCCTCCACATATTTACAGCATATATTTGGATAATCATGGCTCTTTCATGGTGGTTCTCTCTCTCAGCTTGTCTGAAATTTGTCCCCCTCTTTATCTTCTCCCCACCGCCAGCCCAGTGTACTCTTGGTGCATGAATCATGGCAGTAATTGTGGCTGGCCCAGAAGTTGTTGCTGGTCTGCAGCAGCAGAGATGCTGAGAGTTAAAGGGATGTCCCAAAGGGGGCTGAGGGGTTGGAGCAGCAAGAGGTGGGTTCCCCTCTCCCTCTTTCCTGTCTGATGCTGCTGCTGGCAAATCCTTCCAGAGAAAGAGAAGCCCTCCCTACTGCTGGCACATTGGCTGGCATTTGCTCTGCCTGCGGGTGGGTTAAACGTGGGGAGTGTTGTTTTCTCTCAGCACTAATGGCTTTCCCAGGTAAACAGGGCTGCTCCCACCACCCTGGTGTCTGTGAGAGCAGGGCACCACATCCTGCCTGTGGATGCTCTGCTGGTGTCCGTGGGACTGGGGAAACCCTAGTGCCTTGTGGCCCTTACCTCAGTGCCCAGCACACAGAGGGGCTGCTGTTCTCCAGGAGCATTCCTGCCTCCAGCAGGACTCCCTGGGGTCACACAGCCTGCCAGATCCCATGGCTGCCCCGGGGGCTGGGACACCGCGCTCAGCTCCGCCTGGGATCAGGAACACAAAGGGCTTTCTGTGCCGGGGCTCTGAAATGTTACCTGTGCTCAGCAGCTCTCAGCCTTTGTCATCCCAGTCCCATTGTGTTCTGTGCTGCCATTCCTCCTCTTTCCCAGCCAGGCAGGGAGATCCAGCCTGGCCCGATGGGAGCGATACCAGGGGGGCGGGGGTGACACAGACTTTCCACTGCAGGGACCTTGGGAAGAGCACTCAGAGAACTTGGCTGCAAGGACAAGGTGACAAGTGGAGTGTGTGCCTCCGCTAGTAAAATTCCCATCTTGTTTTAGAGCAGGTGTGAAGGATCAGCTGGCATGAAGTGCCCTGTTTGTTATCAGCTCTCAAACTGTGCAGCAGCTCACCTTGTTTTGGTGATCTTGATGATCCTGTGCTCAGTGGAGTGTAAGATTTGGGACCTAGCTGGCCTTTGGGAAAACAGCAGGAATGTCTGATGATCAGTTAAGTCGTGAGGCCATAGATACTGGGAATCTAAACTGAAGGCTGTGTCCTTTTTGTGAGCACTGCCTTGGTTCTGGCACTCTTCAGTGAGGTGTTTTCACTGCAGCAGGAGGCGTAGAGTTGTGAGCACAGCGTCCTCTCTTTCTTCCAAATCCCACTGCAGCCACGGCTGGGATTTCTGAAACTGTAGGAGCCCAAACTGTGTTGTCAGGAAGCTGTTTTGAGACCAGTCAGCTCGAACATCTCAGGCTGGTGGTAATTTCACCTTCCTCTACAAGACACTTTTCCCTAGTGGGACACTGAGCTCACGTCAGTGCCACGGTGCAGTGTGGGGACAAAGTGACTGGAGTGCTTGGGCTTTCTGGGGCTTTTGGCTCGAATCAGGGTCAGTGTTGTCTCATGTGGGGAACACTCAGACCTGGGAAATGGGCCCTGACTGTACAACTGACCATTCTAACTTGAATTTTCCAGGTATCACGAGCTGGTCACCAAGTACGGGAAGCTGGAGCCCTTGGCGGTGGTGGATCTGCGGCCTCAGAGCAGCGCCAAGGTGGAGGTTCACTTCCAGGACAAGGTGGAGGAGATGTCCATCCGCCTCGACCAGACTGTGGCAGAGCTGAAGAAGCACTTAAAAACTGTGGTGCAGCTGTCAACAAGCAACATGCTGCTCTTCTACTTGGACCAGGAAGCTCCTTTTGGTCCCGAGGAGATGAAATACAGCTCGCGGGCGCTGCATTCCTACGGCATCCGGGATGGGGATAAAATTTACGTGGAGCCCAGAATGAAATAGCCTTTTTGCCCACACCCACACGCCCCCACACACCCACACACATGCATTGAGGAGTTTTTTGCAAGGTTTTTATTTCAGTTGGTTGGTTGAGGTTTGGTTGTGTTTCTGTAGCAGGTAATTTCTTAGCGCGGAGGAAGTGCCCTGATCTGAGAACCATGCCCACCATCCACTGCAGGTGACCTTGAGGTGACAATTGACTTCAGGACGTGTGTTTCAGTGTGGGCAATACCTTGATGTTTCCTTTGATGCTCCGGTATACTCGTGATTTGGCATGAATGGTCAGTTGTTCAAGCTAAACAATGCCAGGGTCCATAAGGGAGGAGACAGCTCGGTGCAGAATTTGACCTGTTGTTTTCTTTTCCTGAATTTTTTTGGTGTTTTGCTCCACCAGATCTCCCTTTGGCCTAGCTATCCAACTGTGGCTCGAGCTTGCTGTAGTATTTTCTTGCAGCTTGGTGCTGTCTCAACCTTTTGTTGTGCTCGAGTTCACAGGAAAGATCTCCATCAGTATTCTGCTTGATTCAGAGCTCAGGTACTTTAGTGCATCCACTTCACTCCACTGGTTTGCTTTCTGTGAGTGCACAACGTGGGGGAACGAAAAAGAACTTCCCAGAAAGAAACTTTCTTTTCAAAGTGCACGCTCTATATCCACCTGATTTTGGGGGCAAAAAAGAGGTTTTGGCTGCTGTACCCATCTCACATGGTGCCTGCAGCCTGTGGGGATAAAGGGTGTGTTGGAAAGTGAATTTTGGGAGGTGGTGGATGAGCGCTGCATTGGAAGGGCTTTTAGAACAACAGGTCAACAAGGGGTTGAAGAGCAGCTTCCCCTGTTGTCCATCCTGATGCTGAAGAGATCCTCCGTGCACTTCACCTTGTATCAGTGGGTGCTGCAAGTGGAATGGCTAAAATTCCTCTCCTGGGAGAGAGGAAGAGTCAAGTTGAAGTTTGTGTTTGTTGCTGTTGCACCAGTTCAAACCTAGCACTTTGCCCGGGTCCCTGCGTAGGGTCCGAACTTGGAGGATGTGTTGGCTCGGCTCAGCCTCTGGAAAAGGAGGGACAAAGCAGCTGGACTCAGCTTGGGAGTTCAGCAGGTTTCAAACAAAGCAGCTGGACCACCTTGAGAGTTCAGCAGGTTTCACTGGAAGCAGCTGGACTCAGCTTGGGAGTTCAGCAGGTTTCACTCAAAGAAAGCAGCTGGACTCAGCTTGAGAGTTCAGCAGGTTTCACTGGAAGCAGCTGGACTCACCTTGGAGTTCAGCAGGTTTCACTGGAAGCAGCTGGACTCACCTTGGAGTTCAGCAGGTTTCACTCTCTCTCTCTTGGCTTCCCCCACGCGCCCCTCGTAGGCATCGCGTGCTGCTGCTTCACGTAGTCCCTGTTTTCTACTGCAGAGCAGATTCCCCTGCCTGGTCAGTGAAATCCTCCTTCCTTTTCCTCTCTCTTGTTTCGCTTTCCTGTGTCTTCCCCTCTCCAAGTTCAAGACTTTCCCCGTTTCCTGGTTACAAGCAGCTGCTCAGCAGTTTTTTGGAGCTGTGCAGCGAGGGCTCTAGTTACACATGAACTCCTGACCTTCATTTTGAAATGCTCCCTTTATCCCCACGTGCACTTTCTTTCCCAGGATGCTTTTTCCCGCATCACCGAGCTCCTTTGGTATTCTTGGAGTTGTGTATTTCTCTTCACATTTTACCTGGATTGTGGGGTGGGATCATTGGGGAGGGAACAAAGTATTATTATCTCATAGTCTTCAGGTTTAGGATTTGGGGATTGTTCAGAGGGGATTAGTTCCTTATCCAAAGCAAGGGTTAAAATGGGAGGATTTAAAACAAGTTACTAATTTGTGCCTCATCCCCCTGCCAAAAATAGCAATTTCTTGGCCCCATTGAGACGAGCAGTAGGGAAGGGAGTGAGATTTTCCACAGGTAGCATAGATTTCCCATAGATCTGTGGTACCTGTAAACTAAACAGCAGGGAGATAGTGGCAGTATAACATAAAATGATGCTTTTATAAGCTAGAGCTTTACTGAAGATGTATTTTCCATTTGGGCAGTGAAAATAATTTGCTGCCTGATAGCAGAACCCTTAAGCCAACACTTCTGTATGATATATACATACCTACCAATAGGAAAAGTTGTGGTTAATAAGATATTTTGTTATAAAGCAAAGTTTTATGAAGATATGGTTGTTTAATATTAGAAGCCTATTTCAGCCCTTGACCTCCAGTGTAAGTTATCCCTGAGTGGCTGCAGAGTCTGAGGCAAGTGACCTGTGGGGATGCAAAAGTGTCTCTGACCCAATTCCCCAGAGCAGTAATTGCCTCTGTGGGTGTATTTATGGCATTGTACCTGCTGTTAGTGAGATGCTGTAACTCCTGACCAACTTCCTCAGCACAATTAAGAGTCTGGGTTTCAGAGAAGGGAATAAACAAAGGCCATTAAAGAGTGGAATGGGATGATAAAGAAGGGCCAAGTATGTGCTTTTAAGTTTGTTTGCCCACTAAAAATTGGGCTGTCCACAGAGGGATCAGTGCTGTCACCAGCTCAGAACTGGCAGTAAATCCTGCTTTCATTTGTGACAGACCTGGTGGCAACTGGAAGATGGAAAAAGAGAACACAGAGGGTTAACAGGTGCTGGGGATTTGGTGCTGACACCCAAACCTGCTCCCCTGGTCTGTTCAGGTGTGAAATCACCACCCTGCCACTTCTCCAGGAGAAGGTTTTTCTCAAGGCATTCACCTTGTGTGCAGATAGTGGAGCAGTCGTGGGGTAGAAACCAAAAGTCTTGGTTGGCTTCCCAAGGAGAAGGACTCACCCCCAAAACCAGAGAGGGTTTGTGTGTGCAGATGATCAGCTGTGGGAATGGGGACCAAACAGCACACAAGGATGTGGCAAAATACCCCAAACCACGGAACCTTGTGGGGAAGGGTCTTGTGTGTGTGCCACCCACCAGGGGACCATGTCCTGGGGAGAGAGGAGAAGGTTCTGAGTGGGGGAGGAGGTTTGGGTGCAGATGTGGCAGGAGGTTTGATTTAACCCTCTGCCATGTCAGGAGGGGCTGTGTCCAGGCATTGCCAGCGTGTGCCCTCTTCAGCTGAAGGTCCCTGGGTCTGTCACATCCGCTTGAGAAAACAAAATGGATGTGCAAGCTTCCCTGGCTGGTGTCCTACCTGAGGGCTGCTTTTCTTGTGTTTCTCCTGCTAGTTCATGCATCAAAGTTTGCCACGGGCAGCCTGCACAGCGGGCACAGCACCTGCTCCACGAGGACTTGGGTGACAGCTGTATACCAAAGTGTCCCACGGCTCCTGTGCCGAGTTTGAGGCTGTGCTGTGTGGTTTTGGAGATGTTCCTGTTCAATAGCCGTGGTTTTGGCCAGATGTTCCAGGCAGATCGAAGTTATGAATATGCACGGGGTGCTGGCTGGGATTTGTAGCCTCGTTTTTTGGGAGCTGCAGGCATGCTGGTGGCAGGTGTGACCCTGGTGGCGTGGAGGATGTGCTGCTGGGGACAGGCTCTCCCCGTGCCCTCTCCTGCTCGGGTCTGGAGTCCAACAGAGGAGCTGCAGCTCTGCCTCCTCTCTTGCCAGTGAGATCCTGTAGGTTCTGTTCCTGTGCAAGATTTGAGAATGCAAATGAGGTGCTTAAAGCAGCCCAGAGGCTAAAATATGTATTCCTGGCAGCTGTGCCTCCCTCGTTTGGATGTGGCATTTTTGTAGGCAGCAGAGAGACGCCTTCCCCAGAGCAACATTAGAGGGGCTTCAGCCATCTCGAGCCTTTGCCTCTGTGATTGCTTTTCTGCAGTTCCTGGAAACTTCAAATATAATTTAAACATGAAGATCTGTTCTTGCTCCCTGTTAATGTTGCATCCATATGTAATTTCAAAGAAGAAGAACTGTAAGTCCATCTGGTTTTTTATTCTGGTTTCTCTCCCAGGGGATAAACCTCCCGCTCCCACAATTTGCCTTTGGTTTGCTCGCAGACTTAGTGGTGGAATTCAGGCCAAAATAGGTCATTGGTTTGGATCAGTTCAATAAACTTATGTAAGTTTTTACACTAAAACCCCCAGTGTCCTGAGCTTTGCACTTCCTGTCCCCTGAAAGAAAAATATTCCCTGTTGTCACCCCAAAGGTGTGAGTGAAAACTGCTGGGATTTGTTTTTGTCCTGCTGATGGTTTTGTCTGTCCATGAGCTTGGGCACAGCCACCTCACCTGTGCAAGGAGAGGAGAAGTCACTTCCAGGAGAGCTGGAAGATCTGTTCCTCCTCTGTATTCCCCATGGCTGGGACTCATCCCCACTTCCAGGTGGGGAATAAAGCTCGAGCTCTCCTCAGAGGGACTGGCCTTGGGGTTAAAACAAATTTCACCATCATGTCCTGCACCAAATGACCCTGGGGCAGGCAGGAGGAGAGAGATGCTCCTCTGGATGGGAAAGAGCTCCTGGGCAAATCCTTTGGGCAAATCCATTGCCAGGGCATCTTCCATGGGCTGTGCCAGGGAGATGGGAACGAGACAAGGCACTGCCTGTGCCAAGGTCAAGCAGGCACAGAAGCCCTTGTGGCATCTTTGAATGCTTGTTTTCCCTCAAGGTAAGGCATGGGAGGAAGTTTTCTGCTAGAAGAATTAAGAAAAGAAGAAGTGTTTGGTTGTTCAGCTGTGATGTGTTCAGCACTGCATGATGGGAACATCTCTGCCAAAAGAAGAGAGGCTGGAAGACAAAATCTTCCCCAAAGAGTCAGTGAGACCTAATCAAACTTCATCAGTGTTCACTTGCCCAGACAAACAGGACCAGAATATTAAACTGACAGAGGGAAGCCTATTTTCACCAGTTTTCTCTGTGTTACAAAACAGAATGAGGAGAGTCAATTGATTTTCCTGGAGCTGGTTGTGTTTAAAATGTATGGGAGGGAAGGGAAGAACTGGGATACAGGCTGGAAGTAATCTGCCCCTGGAATATCAGTCAGTGCTGATATCCCTCTACCCTCCTAAAATAGCTGTTGGCTTAGAAAAGGGTAAAAATAAATTTAAAAATGAAAGATTCCTGCTAGCAAGGCCATGCTTGGAGGATGGAGGGAAAGCAAATTCTGGGATTTGCTGTGGAGGCAGCGAGCTGCCTGGTGCCCTGGTGTGCTAGGAGAGACTGCTGAGGTAAGAGACAGCTTTTTGGGGAGATCTTGCTGAACACACTGCCAGGAGCACCCAGGGAAAAAAAAGTCTGGGCTTCTTGTTGGGCTGCTGGTATTCCTGTCTCCTCTCTGTTCCTGACAAAGAGTGGGGAGGACAAGAGGAATTAAGACCTCCTAGCAGGGAAAATAGGGAATAAAAGGCCCCCACCCCAGATGTTAGAGGGAAAAATCAGCCACGCTCAGGCTGTTTTCCCACTGCTGGGGTTGGAGCAGTGCCTGTCTGAGCTGAGCCTGCTGCAGGATGAAAAATCAGCTCTGAGGTAGCTCTGCTGATGGATCCCTCACCCCTCAGCTGCTGCTCAGCTCTCCCTCTCATCCAAGATGGACATGAACCAACTCAAAGCAGTTGAAATCTTTTTTGGGGTGCAGATTGGACTCAAATGTAGAGCTGTGCTCAGCCCAGAATCCAGAGGCAGGAAAAATCCCTGTGGAAACTGCAGCTGTACGAGTGAAAATGAAAATAATGCTCACAGCAGTGAAGGTTCCCACCAGCACCAGAGAGGGTGGAAATGGGAACAGCAAGGAAACCTTCTGTGGGCTGGACTGGGTGAGTTTTTTGCTTTTCCACCTGTAAAAAAGCAGGACTTGGACGGCAAAGCAACTCCATTGAAACTCCAGGGCAGCGCCTTTGAACGGCGCTTTAAGCCTAGCACTGTTTAATGCTAATGCTGTAACTTTATATATATGGGCTTTTTCTTTTTTTTCCCCCTTTACACAAAGGAGGAAGGGGCTCAATTCTTCTGAGGGTTGGGTTTTCTGTTCCCTGAGCAGCAGAGCTGCGAGGCCAGCTCTGTCTCTCTGGCATTTCCATCTGAATCTGCCTGAAGGGGGTGAGCTTTTGGGGAAGAAAGAGGCTTCTCTCCCTCTCCAGGCCAGAATCTGATCTCCAGATTAGCCTGCTGGTTATCAACAGAGGAGCAACAGTTGTGATTGCAACTCAACACTGCTCCAGCCCTGGAAGAGCGTTGAGGAAAACAGAGTTTCCAATTGGGAGAGCAAAGGACTGAGCCATTGTTTCAGACATCAGCAATAACTGGCATGGCAGCACGGGCATGCATTCTCCACTGACATAGGATTTCGCCCTGCTCTACCAAGACTGGTCTAAAATTCCAGACCTGATTGCTCCTCTAGCCTACAAACAGGTTGGTGATTTCTTTTTTTCCATACCTAAAAAATTGTATTTTTGGATGGGATGTGTTCAGTAGCGCGTTCTTTGCTGTCTGCTCTGCTTTGCTCTTGTCCTTGCACTGCCACAGTCCCCACGGGTCACTTTCTGCTGGTCTCTGCTAATGAGACTCAGATTTACAATCTATACAAAATTCTGCCATTCTTCTCTCACCTTTCCAAGACAGGTGGAATGTGCTAAAACTTCTCCTTGGTGGAATGAACTTTTCCCCATGGAGAATGTGCTCGCATTGATGTGGGCGAAGATCTTTCCTTCCACTGTGCTCCAAACTCTCTGAGTGATGTGGGATAAATGATGGGATGTTCCCCCTGTAATCCTGTGCTCTGTGGCATTAGGAGTTGGATCTGTAGATCCACATTTTCCATAAAAACAGATCCATGGGGAGAACACAAAGACGCTGGGTTTTGAGGGAGATTTTTAAAGCTGGCAAGGTGGGAATGCTGCTGTTGACACCCAGGCTGTACATAGCGCACACAAATGGTGTGGGGAGCTCCCACATCCTTCCCAGCACTCCTGGAGAATCCCAGACCTTGCTGGGAGCTCTCCCTGAGCCCTGCCCGTGCAGAACGAGCTCAATGAACAGGCGAAGAAATCAAAGCAGGTGTTTCAGCAATATTTTCTATTGGATTAATAACGAGTAACAAATTGCATTAGGCACAGAAGGAATTAGTGCTGGCAGAGGATTTCGTTTTCATTTTGTATCTTCACTCTCTCAGCCTCTCATTGATTGCTGCACAAGGAGCTGCCCAGCTGTGCAAATGTTTGTGCTCCCTCCTCGCTCATCCAGCCCCGAGTGATGGTTGTGGTGGCAGCCAGGGCACAGGATTAGCTGAAGTTGGAGCCCCTGGACCATGAGAGCTCATCACAGCCTGGAGCAGAACTGCTCCCCCTGGGCTCAGCCAGGAGTGGCCATCCCTGCTTTAAGCAGATCAGGAATTGCTCCTGAACAGGAGAATAAGGAGCCCACGGAGAGCTGTGGCTGTTCACAGCTCCCAGACATGAAATGAGCTCTTCCAGGTGTTCCTGGGCTTCCTTTGGCAGTGATTTGCTGCTATCACCAGGTGTTTCAGGGCTGCCTGGCAGGTGGGGGACCTCACCTGAAGCTCCACATGTCAGCAGCAGTCAGGCAGCTTCGGGAATCCCCTCAAGGATGACTTTTCCTACCAATGTGATGCATGGCTGGGTTTGTCTCCTTCCTGTAGGATGAACAAGAGATCATTCCTGGGAGCCTGGGTGGCCCTTTTGGTGATAACAGCACAGCAGCGAGGTGAGTATCTCCCAGCAGGAAAATATTCCCCAGCTGGGCTGTGCCCAGAGACCCCAGAGGGCTTGGAAAGTGACCCCAGAGGGCTTGGAAAATGACCCCAGAGGGCTTGGGGACCACCCCAGAGGGCTTTGGGAACACCCCCAGCTCCTTGGCTGGAGCAAGGACAAGAACCAGAGTGACCTGAGTGTTCCCCATGGGGAGGGAGGGACTGAGAATCCTGAAGGCTGCTTGTGTTTATAATTTTTATGGCTGTGTGTGCACCTGGAGCATTCCAGAGGAAGCAGGAGTTTGGAAAATCTCTGTGTTAGGGCTGCTGAGCAGGTATGGTAGTGTGGCACAGCTAAAGAGGAACTGAGGAATGTCTGCTGAGCCTCCTGTTTAAAAACAGAATAAAATCCATGTCCTGTAGCTGTACCTTGGCTGTGATAACTCATCAGGTGTGTAACAGCTGTGAAATTATTTATTTTACTGCCTGGCAGGAGGAATTTTGCTGTGGCCCTTTGGATATGTCTGTGGAAAGAGGGCTGTGGCTTGGACACCATCAGTGCCACCTCCCCAGTGTCCAACAAGGCACTCAGGGCACACAAATGTCTTAGGAAATCAGGATGCCAGTGGGTTAGGCCAGATTTCCCCTTATCTCCCTTTTCCCAGGGAAGTTTGGAGCCTGGGAAGGGTCAGTAGCGACTCCTTAATGCTCAGCATGGAGCATCCTCAGAGCTGGCATCACGGAGAGGCCCTTGTGTGCCCATGGGAACACAAAAGAGCCTGGAGGGCCCCCAGGAGCTCAGGGCAGGCTCCTGGGGATGGCAGCATGTCCTGAATCCAGGTGAACAGAGCTGGGATTGTTCCAAGCCCGGGGGCTCTGTCATCCCAGATTGGATGTCGTGAGGCTTTCCTGCATCAAAGAGGGGAGAAGGGGGAGGCAAACCCAGAAAAATCCCCGTTTGCTCTGTGAGGAGCTGGCTGGAGGAGCAGGACATGAAATGACAGCACAAATCTGGCTGGGACAAGAAGGGAAGGGTGCCCTGGGGCCTGAAGTGGCTGCTTGTGCCTCAAGCTGATGGATTTTAGGCTGGTGAAAAAAAAGCAGCAGGCTGAAACGTGTCAAAACCATCTTCTGAAGTACTTTTGGGAGAGACGGTTATGTTCGCTGGCAGTGCCTTTTAGCAGGAAAGTGAATTTAGCTGGGAAATGTCGGAGCAGCCGTGACCCCTCAGGCTGTCAGCCGGGCCAGGAGCAGGGCAGGAGGAAGGTGGGCACTGCCAGGAGAGGGAAAGAGGAAGGTGAAGGTGGGCACTGCAGGGGCAGGGCAGGAGGAAGGTGAAGGTGGGCACTGCCAGGAACGTGGCTCTGGGGGCTGGAATTGCTGCTGTTTGCCCCCCTGAGCACCTGACATGTGGACAGCCAGTCCTGCCTGTCCTGGAGCAGGGCATGGACCTGCTGTCCTGCTGTGAAGCCACGACTTAGGGGGTTTGGCTTGGTCACTGTCCCAGGGGAGGGAAAACTGCAGCTGTGGTGCAGCTTGTGGTCACTTTGCTGTGTCCTGACTAACCTGGGTGATGCTTTTCCTCCTGAGCCTGTCCTAAAGCCAGTCCCACTGCCAGCAGCTCTGCCCTGGCTCCAAGCACCCTTTGGCTGCTGATTTTGGGGTTTGGAGCTGTTCTCTCTGAAATCAGGACTGTCCGGACCCTGCCCTCAGGACTCTTCTCCCTCTCCTTGCAGCTCACACCATGGCAAGCCTCTATCCATACTGGCAGAACGACACCAAAACCCCCAAAGTTGATGATGGCAGCTCCCCTGAAATCAAGATCTCTGTGCCATTCATCTTTTTTGGAGCCCCATACAGAAGCATTTATGTAAGTGGAGAAAGCAGATCTTCCCTTCATCCTTTCCCTTGCCATTATTGGCTGCATTTTAAACATTCTCTGCCTGTCACCAGGAATTGGAAGATTTATTAGCAGCTACCTGACAAGTTCTTAGATTTCATGAACTGATAGGTTTTATGATTAAGAAAGTCAAAGGTGTATTTAATGGGATAATGTTCATAGGAAAGGAATCTAAAAGGCAATAAATTTTCCTTGTGGGTGATTAAATGGCACGGCGAAGCGAAGGGCTTGACACAAGGGACATTATTCCTGCTCCATGGCAAGAAACAAGAACATGCAGGACCTGCAGGGGGGGAAAGGGGCAGCGGTTTTGTGGGGGGCCCAGACAAGGACAGGCTGCTGCTGCTGCCAGGTGATGGCACAGCAAAAGCCTGGCTAAGGGGACACCAAGGCTGGGCTGAGAGGGGTCACCTGAGCTCACCTAAACCTCAGACAGGGCCTAAGTCAGCGTGACTGTGCCACATCCCAAGTTTTGTGGTCTCTGTGGGATCAGAAGAGACTCATCCATTCTCCAGCTGGTGTTTGTGCACAGCAGCGCTGGGAAAGCAGAATCCCATTCCAAACCCTGTTCTGGTGGGGGTTCCAGCACCCAGGGCAGCAGTGCCATTTGCTGCAGAAATGTTGTTTTGGGGAGCATCTTCAGCAGACTCTGGGGAGGCTGAGGTGGCACCTCCCAGCTCTGGGGGAGCCCCAGGATCAGCCACAGATGCCAAAGCCAAACGCAGTTTTGTCCGTGCAGCCACCTGTGCCCCCATCATCCACGTCCCTCAGTGCTGCAGGGCTGAGTAATCCCAAAAGCTGAGCAATCCTGGGAGCAGTGCCTCAGCAGATTTGGGTGCCATCCTGCTCTGATGGGTGCCTCCCCTGTAGAACACTATTTTGAAGAATTTTCAGCGTTTTGGGGCTTCCTGCACCAACTCATCAGCTGGATGAAGCTGAATCCTGCTCAGGCTGCTCACCCTGTCTGTGTCTAAACCCAAACCCTCTCTCCCCACACCTCCTGCCAAACCAGCCTCTCTGTGCTGACTTATTCACCAAAGCACCTTTGCTCAGACGCCGCGGGGGTCTCCACGCAGGTCAACAACAACGGGGTGATCTCCTTCAACGCCCTGGTCAGCCAGTTCACGCCCGAGGCCTTCCCGCTGGCCGACGGCCGCGCCTTCGTGGCGCCCTTCTGGGCCGACGCGCACAACGGCATCCGCGGCGAGATCTACTACCGGGAGAGCACGGAGCCCGAGCTGCTCCGCAGGGCCTCCGGGGACGTCCGCCGGCACTTCAGGGACATGGCCTCCTTCTCTGCCCGCTGGCTCTTCATCGTCACCTGGGAGGAGGTGACCTTCTACGGGGGCAGCAGCACGACGCCGGTGAGGGGTTACGCATGGGTGTATTTTGTGTCTTGTCCTGTCAAGAGGGGAGCTTTTTATTTTATGTCTTGTCCCCTCCAAAGAGGGGAAGTTTGGGGGTGCATGGAGGTGTTCTTCATCATCCGTGTGTGAAATTGAGGAGGTAACGTTCTAGAGGGGAAAGAAGCACAATGCCGGTGAGGGGCTTCTCGTGGGTGCATTTTATGTCTTGTCCTGTAAAGAGGGGAGTTTCTTTATTTTATGTCTTGCCCCCTCCAAAGAGGGGAAGTTTGGGGGGGCATGGAGGTGTTCTTCATCATCCGGGTGTGAAATTGAGGAGGTAACGTTCTAGAGGGGAAAGAAGCACAATGCCGGTGAGGGGCTTCTCGTGGGTGCATTTTATGTCTTGTCCCCTCCAAAGAGGGGAATTTTGGGGGCGTATGGAGGTGTTCTTTAAACTCTGAGTAAAATTGAGGAGTGACATTCTAGGGGGGAAGCAGCACAATGCTGGTGAGGGGCTTCTCGTGGGTGTATTTTATGTCTTGTCCTGTAAAGAAGGGAATTTCTTTATTTTATGTCTTGTCCCCTACAAAGAGAGGCGTTGATGGAAGTGATCTTCATCATCTGTATGTAAAATTGAGAAGGTGACGTTCTAGGGGGGAAGAAGCACAATGCTGGTGAGGGGCTTCTCATGAGTGTAATTTAAATCTTGTCCTGTAAAGAGGGGAGTTTCTTTATTTTATGTCTTGTTCCCCCCCAAAAAGCAGAATTAGGGGAATTTTGGGGGTATATGGGGGTGTTCTTCATCACCTGTATGTAAAATTGAGGAGGTAATGTTCTAGGGGGGAAGAAGCACAATGCTGGTGAGGGGCATCTCATGGGTGCATTTTATGTCCTGTCCTGTAAAGAGGGGAGTTTTTTATTTCTTGTCCTCTCCAAAGAGGGGCATTGATGGAAGTGTTCTTCATCATCTCTGAGTAAAACTGAGGAGGTGACATTCTAAAGGGGAAGCAGCACAACACTGGTAAGGGGCTTCTCATAGGTGTATTTTATGTCTCTCCTCTGTAAAGAGGGGAGGTTTTTTATTTTATGTCTTGTCCCCTCCAAAGAGGGGAATTTTGGGGGTTGATGGAGGAGTTCTTCACCATCTGTGTGTGAAATTGAGTGAGACACTTTGTGTTCCTGCTCCCCAGTTCCCTTCTGGGCCGAGGAGCACCACACTCATTTCATTTTTCCCCTGAGCCTTGCTCCCTTCTTTGAGATCTCCAGGGAAAGCATCTCCTCCTCAGTGTTTGCAGGATCTAAGCAAGGCTCTGACACCAATTAGGACTCTTTGGCTTGATCACAATGCACTTCTTGCATACAAATTCCTATGTTTCTGATGGCAGCTCCCTGCCTGCATGGGAGATTGATCACGCTGATCAGAGCCACACTAATGACTCGGCCGTGTCACACGGCCACCAATGTGTGAGCTGTATCTCACAGGAGGGGGATGGCGCTGGGATGTTTGTCAGGGCATGGACAGCTTTTAAATATCTGGTGAATTTGTGAGCTGTGGCTGCAGCTGATGTGGGGAGGTCTGTGCTTGGGGTGCACTGCTGGCAGGGGCTGTGCTTGGGGTGAATTACAATCAGAGGGGTAGCTGATGTGGGGAGGTCCGTGCTGCACTGCTGGCAGGGGCTGTGCTTGGGGTGAATTACAATCAGAGGGGTTTGGGTGGGAAAAGATCACCTCATTCCACCCCCTGCCGTGGGCAGGGACACCTTCCTCTAGACCAGGCTGCCCCAAGCCTCAAACAACCCATTCTTGAACAGCAAGTGAGGGATCCCAGCTACTGTCTGGGTTGTTCAGGATCAGCCTGTGTGCTGTGAGTGCCAAAACCCAGCTTCTCCTGTCTCGAGGAGTTGGCTCTGATAAACAGTTCAGCTCTTTTCCATTCCTTAGAGAAGCTTGAGATTTGATGCATATTTTTTTGCCAGTCCTGGCAGCACTTGCAGAAAAACCCCACATATATATATTTTTATATATATATTTTCAGACAGCAAGCAATATAGAGATTCGTGTATTGCCTGAAGAATTACATTTGCAACACAATGCAATTTATTTTGCTTTAGAGCAGCCTTCCTGCTCAGCAGCAGCCGGGGCTCGGGGTTGGCACAAGGAATAGCACCATGCAACTTAAGCAGGAATTTCATCGCAATGCAGAAAAACTGCAGAAAATTTGGGAATGTGGCCTCAGGGATGCTGCAGTTGCTGCCTGGAGATGTCACCTGAGCAAATTGGTTCATTTTCTGAGGGTTGGACAGAGAGGGTGCTCCATGGCCAGGAGCTCCAAAAAGGGGAATTTTGGGATTTGATGGAAGTGTCATGAGGAGAGAGGTGTGAGATTCACCTCCTGCCACCCTTCCAGAGGCTCCTGAGCAGAGCAGGGTTTGTTGCTGTGTGGAAAAGCTGCTGTGGCACTCTCCAAGTGGCACTGCCTTTATGTGTGACACGTTTGTGACCTCCCAGCACGGCAAAAGGTGAGCAAGAGGAAACCAGGAGTAGGAGAAAGAATGCCAGGGAAAGGATGAGGAGTGGAAGTGGCTCTGCTTTACTCCCTGCCCTGGTGTGAACTGTGCCATTTGCAGCTGCTCAGAGGCAGCTCTGCCCACACCTCTCTCTCTCTCCTGACAGCTCCCAGAGCTGCTTCGCCTCCGTGTTCCAGAGTTCTCCTGGCAGGGGCCTGGTTTCCTTGGCAGTGACATCCCCTGTGGCGTGCAGGCAGCTCTGGGCTCCCCTCTGAGGCATCCTCAGAGCAGGGGGTTTGCTCCAAGGGGATGGAATGTGGTGCCAAGTGACCCCCAGCCTTCCCCTTCCCCTTCCCCTTCCCCTTCCCCTTCCCCTTCCCCTTCCCAGCAGCCACCAACTGCTCTCAGGGCTCCTGGCAGGAGAAACCCTGATGCTTCCCACTGGGAGATGTTTGGATCCGTGGGTTTCACCTGGGAATTGTTTCTGTGGCTGCAGTTTCCTCCCCATTGTGCAGTGCCTAGGTGTCCAGGCTCCAAGGGTTGCTCTGCATTAATTAAAAGAGAGGCAGCCCCTGCTAAAATCCTGCTTGCTCAGAGGCAGGAGGAGCTGCTCTCAGGGCATGGTCAGAGGGCAGGGATGGGAAGGACAGGAAATGCAGGGAGCTGGGAGAAGGGGCTGACTGAGCTCCCAGTGCCCAGCTCTGCTGCTGGATCTGCAGGGATGGAGGGGATATCCCAAGGGAAGGAGCTCTTCTGTCCTTCTGCACAGCCCTAAAAGGGAAGATGGGCTCTTCCCACCTGGATCCTGGCTGGAGTTTGTGGGGCTGGAAATGCAGAGTCATTTCAAGTGAAAGGAAGAACACGAGCAGAGGATTTAGCAGGTGGGGAGGGGATTTGGCAGCCAGCAAAGTGCAGGATATACATGGCTGGCTTGGATGTAATCCACCCTCGGCAGCGTTGTAGGATATGAATGTGGAAGGGAACCAGGAAAGATAATGCAGGAATGAAGCTAAGACAGGGTAATGGGAGATAACAGATCACAAGCACCAAATCCTGCCCGCTGCTCCTTCCCCGGCAGCTTATTCTCATGCTGCCATCTATTGGTGCTCCCTTGGATCAGAGATGGTCCTCACACGCTCCCAGGTGGAGGAAGGAGCAGAATGGGAGCTGCTGGAGCAGTGGCAGCTATTTTGGGTGGTTTTGGGTCTCATTCCACTTCTGCTCCTCACTGTGAGGCTCACCCGGGCCAGACCTCAGTGTGGCAGAGGGGCAGGAGGAAAGCAGAGCCACCCGTGAAGGTGCCCGTGGTTTCCCACAGGTGAACACGTTCCAGGCTGTCCTGATCACAGACGGGGTGTCATCCTTTGCCTTGTTCAACTACCACGAAATCAGCTGGACCACGGGCACGGCCAGTGGAGGGGACCCCCTCACTGGTCTCGGCGGGGTGATGGCTCAGGTGAGGCTCTTGCTCCCGTATCCCCATCCCTGCTGAGCTCTTGGATGGCTGCCTATGGCTTTTGCAAAGCATCCATGCTTGCTCAGGCCACTGAGTCCCTCAGCATCGCCAGCACTGGCCTTGCACTCCTTGCTGGGATGAGCACTCCAAAATTTGGTGGTGGCAGCAGTGCCACAGCCAGTCCCTCTGCCTGAGGAAGGGGACATTGCTGCACAAGAAATGCAGGAATCCTGCACCCCCACATTGCTTTCTTACTTTATCTCTCCCTGCGTTGCTCTCTCACTCTATTTTGGCCACGCAGTTCACACACCCTTAGATCTACATACATATGTATCTATACAGACATAAATCTGTGAATACACTTCCCTTCTGCTTGTAGTGCCTGTTTAGCTTTTCATTCACATTCAGACTACCTGAAAACAGAAATTTAGACTACCTAAAACCAGAAATCTTCAGAAAGAGCTGTTAAAACTAAAGAAGATGTACTCAGGGGGAACAGAGAAGTGAGGAAACGCAGCATTGCTTTCCCATTGCCAAGATGGGTGATGGAATTTGCTCTCTCTCTGCTTTAGGCTGGCTTCAATGGTGGAAATCTCACCAACTTTTTCAGCATCCCAGGCTCCAGAACCCCAGATATTGTCAATATTGAGGAAACAACCAACGTAAATGTCCCTGGGCGCTGGGCTTTCAAAATAGATGGCAGAGAAATAGACCCGGCCAACGGCTGCAGCCTGAGAGGTAAGGGAGAAAAGAATTGCTTGTCCCCAAATTTTGGGGTGCAGTGCAGCAAAAGATGATGCTGTTGGGGTGCTGCATGATCTGTGCTTTAGCCAGGGTGTCCCCATGAGCTGCAGCTGCAGGGACAGAAACAGAAGAGAGGGTTCAGTCCTTGCACATCTCCGAGTTCCTGCGATAATTGGTGGCAACAGGAAAGACTCAGGGACAGCAATTTCCTCCTGCCCATAAATTAGAGAAGCTGATCTTGTGCCATTTCCCTTGTTTGTGCATGAGGAGCATCAGGTTCTGTAGGCAGGACAAATGTCATGTGTCTGCAGCAGTTACAGGGTCTGTGCCTGTCACTGACAGCGCGGGGCCATAAAGGGATTAATCAATGCACACACTGGCTGCACAGGGGCTCTGCTGCTGAAAGATTATTGCACTTCCATTTGACAAATAAAACTGTCAGGAGCATCCACTGTGCTCCAGGAGTCTTTCCAGCAAGAGAGGATTGTCATTTGCTGACAGACACTGGAGACATGTGGCTTCTTTATGTCCTAGTTTAGGACTACTCGAGGTCCATGAGATCCCAAGGCTCTTGCAGCTCCAGCAGAGTTTTGGGTCCAGCTGCTCCAGCATTTCCCAGCTGCTGACACCAGGAAGAAAGGCTGGATTTTGCAGAGAAGCTGGAAACCAGTCTCAGCTCTGCAGGTGACAAGAGGAGTTGGGAGTAGATCCCACCACTGGATTTAAATTTCACAGTGAATGGCCGATTGCCCCCAGGAGAGGAGATGCAGCACGAGGTGTTGGATCCAAATATCACCCCTTTCCCAAATTCCCCACACCAGGATGGTTGGAACGTGGGCCTTGCCAAGAGGAGACATTTGTTGCGAGGAAGCAGAAAAATAGCTCCTTTTTTTTTTTTTTTTTTGTAGGAGGCAGGGAAGAGAACAAAAAGTTTAGGAGAGGCAAACTCAAGCAGCGCACGGCAGAAGCCACGCGCCGGAGGAGTGTGAAAAATGCCCAGATGGAGGGGAGAGAAACCCTCACAGGGACTTGCCACCCTTCCTCTCCAGCCCTCTTCCTGCCTCTCCTGTCTCTCACCAGCCAAACCCGCTCCCTCTCTGCTGCTGTCTGGGGCTGTGAGATCACTCAGCACCCTGCTGGGGCTCGTGTGTGGGGTGGAAGTTGCTTATCAACAGCTCTTTGGTGTAGTAACTACTACGAGATCTTCCTGAATGGGAGTAAATTGCTCCTGGGGCTGCTGCTGACAGAGTGACTTTTTGACCAGCAGAGTTATGTGAACAAGGGAACCGTGGAAGTGAGAGCAAAGCTGGAGCATGGTAAAAGCGCAGCAAAAATGTTGGAAACTGCCTCCAAATGGGGCTTTTCCTTTGGAAAAACAGCACAAATGCCACAAATGCCTCTTGTGCCCTGCAATACTGAAGAAGAGCCAGAGTGGTGGGTGTCCAAAATGCGTGGAATAACCTTCAAGTTTTCCAGCCTGCTGTTGCAGCACTGACCCCGGATTTGTGACAGCACTCGCAGCATTCCAGGGGCTCGTGGCGTGGGCAGGACTCAAAGATGATGCACCACACATTAGAAATGAAACTTGGGATTTGCTGAGTGGCTCTTGCTAGGAGTTTGCACAAAGAAAACAGCTGAGAAGCCCAGCAGCAGGACACGGTGGTGGTGGTCTCCATCACAGGAGCAGCAGGCCCCCGGGGGTGCGCTCAGAGCGTGTTTCTGTTTCAAGAAGTGATGTAGCGTGGGTTTTTCCCTTTCTGTCTTTCTAGGCCAGTTTCTCCGTCAAGGGGAGATCTTTTGGGACAACGCCAACTGCACCACCAAGTGCCGCTGCCTGGACTTCAACAATGAGATCCTGTGCCAGGACATGGCTTGTGGCCCCTTCGAGGCGTGTGAGACGAAGAGCAAATTCTTCCAGTGCGTGCCGGTGGAGAGCAGCACCTGCGTGGTGTTCGGAGATCCACATTACCACACCTTCGACGGCTTCCTCTTTCACTTCCAGGGTTCCTGCTCCTACCTCCTCGCCAGGCAGTGCTGGCCAGGCTCCCAGCTGCCCTACTTCAACGTGGAGGCCAAGAATGAGAACCGAGGCGGCTCCTCCGTCTCCTGGCTGAGGGATATTTATGTGGAGGTCTACTCGCACAAGATTGTTCTCCCCAGGGGCGGATTTGGGAAGGCAAAGGTAAGAGCTCTGCTGGAAGGGGAGAACTTGCCAGGGCAGCTCCTCTGAGGTGGCAGCAGCCTGGAGAGTGTGGGATGGCACTTCTGGGCTTCGTGTGTCCTGGGGAATGGGCACAGGCTGTCCTGTCTGTCCCAGGGCGAGGGCTCTGCTGTTGCACGCGCTGGCTCAGCCGCCGGGTGCTGTCCCCGCAGGTGGACGACCTGGTGGTGTCCCTGCCCATCTCCTTGGAACTGGGCGCAATCAAGGTCTACCAAAGCGGGCTGTCCACTGCCCTGGAGACTGACTTTGGCCTGCTGGTGACCTACGATGGACAGCACTACGCCTCCGTGTCCGTGCCGGGCTCGTACATCAACGCCACGTGCGGGCTGTGCGGCAACTACAACAAAGACCCCGAGGACGACGTCCTGCGCTCAGATGGGAGGGTGGCCACGTCCGTGCCAGAGCTGGGCGAGAGCTGGCAGGTGCCACATCCCGAGCGCAGGTGCTCCACGGGCTGCCTGGAGAACTGCAGCCTCTGCGACGCCGCCACCGAGGCGCTGTATTTCACCCCCGAGTACTGCGGCTTCATCAACAAGAGCGGGGGGCCCCTCTGGGAGTGTGGCTCTGTCGTGGATCCCACTGCCTTCATCCACAGCTGCGTCTACGACCTCTGCAGCGCCAAGGACAATGGCACTGGTCTGTGCCAGGCCATCCAGGCGTACGCCACCGTGTGCCAGGCCCTGGGCATCTCGGTGGGAGAGTGGAGGAGCCAGACAGGATGTGGTGAGTGTTTGGGAGCAGGGGAGCAATGCCAGGGGTGTGCCCAGGAGTGCGTGACAGGAGAGGGAGGAAACCCAAGGGAGGGGATTGCCTGAAATGAAGGGAGTTGGGAGAGAACTGATTGGTACCTCCTCTCCATGGCATCACACCCTTGCTCCGGCAAAAGTGTGACACAAGTCAGGCATGACGTGGGAGCTCCACCTTGCTCTGGAAGTCATCTGCTGCCATGAGGAGGGTTGGAGGCTGGACTGGAATGGGAACTGGTTGGTCAGTGCACCATCCTTGTCGCCTTAAATAGCTGTGGGCGACTCAGTGGCTCTGGGGCTATTTTGGAGAAGCTCAGGACTGGGCAGGGAGGCCTGGGTGGGAAATGGAGGGGACAATCCTGCTATTGAGGGCTTCGTGGGTCACTCTGTGTTGTCTCTGCTGAGGTCAGTGAGAGGGTGGCACCTGAACTGTGCTGTAACATGGCCCTTCTGTTTGTCACCCTTCTGCGCCCACAGCGGCGGCCGTGCAGTGCCCGGAGCTCAGCCAGTACTCGGTGTGTGCCACCAGCTGCCCTGCCACCTGCTCCGACCTCACTGCCCCGCTGGCCTGCACCTCCCCCTGCACCGAGAGCTGCGAGTGCCCCGAGGGCCACGTCCTCAGCGCCGACCGCTGCGTCCCCGTCCAGGGCTGCGGCTGCGACGTGAACGGCCGCTACTACGCCGTCGGGGAGTCCTTCTGGGCATCACCAGACTGCACTGTGCAGTGCCACTGCGAGGCTGGCGGGGAGGCCAGGTGCTTCAACACCACCTGCCCCGAGGGAGAGATCTGCACCATCGAGAACGGCTACCGGGGGTGCTACCCAAAGCGGGAGACTGTGTGCTTGGTGGGGCAGGACCAGGTGCTGCAGACCTTTGATGGCATCACCTTCCCCTACCCGCTGGAACAGTCCTACACGCTGCTCAAGACCTGCCCAGAGAGGCCAGACTTCATTGAGGTGGACATCAACCAGAAGAAGGTCGGCTCTGCTCCCAACGGGCCGCGCGTCGTGCGGGTCCAGGCGGTCGGCCAAGAAGTGAAGATTGGAGGCACCAGGCTGTCAGACATTAAGGTAAAGGTGCTGCCCTGGGACGGGGTGGGAGGTGGTGGCTTGTGGTGTGATCCAGTGGAGATTATAGCTCTGTAGCTGTGGACACCACAGGAATACTTGAACCATCATGTGGAGGCCCTTTGGGTGCCTGTGAAGCTGTTGCCACAGCACTGCTCCTCCTGTTTGCTAAGGAGGTTTCCTGCCTCCTCCTTCTCCTGCAACTTGCTTTTCCCCTGGAAGAAAAATTGCTTTATGTGGGGCAAAACCCAAAGACACAGCTGTATGCCCTCACTCAGAGGAGGCTCTGGGCCCTGGAGGGTGGGTCTTTGTCAGGAAGTGTTTAACGTGCACATTGTGGTTGGGCAAAGCCACATCACCCTCCCTGGCCTCTCCACCTTGCTCCTTGCAGGTGAATGGTTATGACATGGAGCTGCCCTACTTCCACCCCTCTGGGCGCCTGGAAATCTACCGGACTGACAACAGCACCGTGATGGAGTCTGAGGGGCTCCTGGCCATCAGCTACTACGACTCCGGCCTCCTGGAGATCCGCCTCTCCACCTCCTACTTCAACTGCACCGGGGGCCTCTGCGGCCTCTTCAACGACAACGCCACCGACGAGTTCTGCCTGCCCAAGGGCAAGTTCACCGACAATCTGGAGCTCTTCCTGGAGAGCTGGACCACCTTCGACGAGATCTGCAACGGCGAGTGCGGGGACCTGCTCATGGCTTGCAACAACGACTCGGAGCTGCTCAAGTCCTACAGGAGCCGCTCCAGCTGCGGCATCATCAACGACCCCACCAACAGCTCCTTCCTGGAGTGCCACAGCGTGGTCAATGTCTCGGCCTACTACAGGACATGCCTCTTCCGCCTGTGCCAGAGCGGGGGCAACGTGTCAGAGCTGTGTGACTCGGTGGCACGCTACGCCAGCGCCTGCAAGAACGCCGACGTGGACATCGGCCAGTGGAGGAGCCACAGCTTCTGCCGTGAGTCCACCAAAGCTCTTCCTCACCCAGGGTGGGGAGAAGGGAGTTTGGAACCCACCAAACCCAGGCAGAGTGTTTTTGGTGGGGATCTGTGGGCATGCAGAGGCAGAGCAGCTTTTCGTGTGGGATGCTGGAATCACAGGCAGTGGTTTCTGGTGCCAGCAGAGAGAGATTTCCCAGGGAAGTGGTTTCAGGGTGGCATTTCAGGAGGAGCAGAAGTTTTATGGTGCGCTGTAGGAGCATTCTGGAGCTGCAGATGGTGTCTGGCGGTGCTGTACGCCACCACCAGAGGATAATTTGAATAACACTGGTTTTTAGCTGTTGCTGTAAACTTGCCATGGATGGGAGAACATTCATAACTCATAAGCAAATATGAAAATCCCAAGTGTGGCAGTAGATGGTGGGAAGGCTGTGCCTGTCTCTGCCTCAGGAGTTTCAGGGAGGTGTTTGTTTGGGAAATAACAGGAGGAGGTGATGTCTGGCACACAGCAGGACAGGGTTGAGATGTGAGGGGGGGCGATGGCTGAGAGGAGAAGGGGTTGCAAAGGGAATAGGATGAGCCAGTGGCCACAAGATGCTGAGACTGTTTCCCCTTTTGCCCTGAATCCATCACCACCCGCTTTTGCCTGTTCCTCACCCAACGCTGTCAGAGCTGGGGGGCTCAGGCTCTGTGTTTGCCAACCCTGCAGCTCTCTCCTGCCCGGAGAACAGCCACTTTGAGGAGTGCATGAGCTGCGTGGAGACCTGCGAGAGCCTGGCCTCGGGCCCCGTGTGCAGGGACACCTGCTCGGAGGGCTGCCAGTGCGACGAGGGCTTCGCCCTGCGCGGCACCCGCTGCATCCCCCGCCGCGAGTGCGGCTGCAACTTCGAGGGCCGGCAGCTGGCCACCAACCAGACCTTCTGGATGGACATCTCCTGCCACTTCCTGTGCTACTGCAACGGCTCGGACAACAGCGTGTACTGCGAGAATGTGTCCTGCAAGGACGACGAGTACTGCCTGGAGGAGAACGGCCTCTACTACTGCCACGCCCGCACCGATGCCTCCTGCATCATCTCGGGCTATGGGCACTACCTGACTTTTGATGGCTACTCCTTCGACTTCCAGAGCAGCTGTGAGCTGGTGCTGTGCACCACCATCTCCCGGCCCAGGGTGGAGCGCTCGGACACATTCCCAACGTTCACCGTCACGGCCAAGAACGAGGATCGGGACACCTCTCTGGCCCTGTGGGTGAAGCAGGTGGAAGTGGAGGTCTTTAATTACAAGATTGTTATCCACCGTGCCTACAAGTACACTGTGCTGGTGAGTGCAGGGCCATGAGGGCTGTGATTATTTCTGCAAGAGTAAAACCCTAGACATGAGGCTTTAGGGCTTACAAGGTTTTCTGGAGGTGAGATCATGCAGTGGGTGCTGCCAGGCACAGCTTTTGGAGAGGATTTCTGTTTTGGCTGGAGAGGGAAGCTCAGCGGGGACCTTTCTCTGGGAATGCCCAGCCACCCTCATTTGTGTCCTTCTGTAGAAGCTCCCACCATCATGCCCCCTCACAGTGTTTGCCTTGTTCCCTCCCTGCAGATCAACGATGAGCGTCTCTACCTGCCCCTGAAGCTGGGCCAGGGCAAAGTGAACATCTTTGCCTTCGGTTTCCACATCGTGGTGGAGACCGACTTCGGGCTGAAGGTGGTGTACGACTGGAAGACCTTCCTGTCTGTCACCATCCCACGGGCCTTCCAGAACCTCACCTATGGCCTCTGTGGCCGCTACAACGGCAACCCCGAGGACGACCTGGTGGCTGCAGGGGGGACACCGGCCACCAACATCAGTGACTTTGTGCAGAGCTGGGCCAAGCGGGATGCGTTCTGCCGCGTGGGCTGCGGCGACCGCTGCCCGGCCTGCGGCAAGGTGGAAGGATTCTGGAAGCCCCAGCAGCTCTGCAGCCTCATCCCCAGCCAGAGTGGTGTCTTTGCCAAGTGCCACAGCAAGATCAACCCCGGCTTCTTCTACAAGAACTGCCTCTTTGACACCTGTGTGGATGGGGGGGCCATGCAGACAGCCTGCAGCTGGCTGCAGAACTACGCCAGCACCTGCCAGACTCAGGGCATTGCCATCACTGGCTGGAGGAACTTCACCTCGTGCTGTAAGTGCCACCCTGCCTCCTGGTCCTTCTTTTTCTGGGGTTCCAAGGAGGGGGAGGCCAATGGCCTGGCAGCCAATCCCTCCCACGCTTGCTGGGTGAGGTGGGTGAAGTCTGGGACACTGTATTCTCCTGGAGTTGTCACAAACTGCATGTGGTACAGCAGGAGCAGGGATGGAAGTCTCAAGGTCAGAAGGTACAGGGATGGAAAAGGGTGAGCCTCAGGCTCAGAAGGGACATGGATGGAAAGAGGAAGCCTTAAGCTCAGAAGATATAGGGATGGAAAATGGAAAGCCCTGAGCTCAGAAGGTACAGGGATGGAAAAGGGTAAGCCTCAGGCTCAGAAGGTACATGGATGGAAAATAGAAAGCCCTAAGTTTAGAAGGGACAGGGATGGAAAATAGAAAGCCTCAAGCTCAGAAGGCATCAGCCATCCCCCCCACTGTTAACCAGGGATTATATCAGTCAGCTTCAATGCCAGCAGTGCATGTTGCTCTAATGAAGCTGCAGCCCCTTGTCAATAAGATGACGATGTGCTGTTCAATCAGGCTCCTGAGGATGGGCACCGCACGCATCCCTGGCAGCCAATCTGTCTGGCAAATCGGATGGGAAGTAATTGTCCTTGCTAACGAGACTGAAAATTAAATTTGTGTCGTTTTTCCCTTCTAACAAGCAAGCTCATGGCTCAGGGGCCCCGCTGTCACAGGGTGGTGAGGCCACAGACTGGCACACCATGCATGACAGGTCTGAATCAATCCCTGGTGGGGAGCCAGGTTGGTGGTGTCCATGGAGCTAATCTGTGTTGGTTTTGTCCCCTGCTCAGCTGTCAGCTGTCCCCCCAACAGCCACTACGAGAGCTGTGTGTCCCTGTGCCAGCCCCGATGTGCTGCCATCCGGCTGAAGAGCGACTGCAGCCACTACTGCGTGGAGGGCTGCCAGTGTGACCCTGGCTATGTCCTCAATGGCAAGAGCTGCATCCTGCCCCACAACTGTGGCTGCTACTCTGATGGCAAATACTACGAGGTACGCAGCTCTTGGAGCCGGCTCCCTTCCTGTGGATGACATTTCTGGGCAGAGTTTGAGTGGGGATAACAGTCAGGCTAGGCTGGTAGCAGAGATAGAGAGGAGAGGGATGTCCTTCCATGGTGTGCTGCATAGGGAGTCTTTCTATCCAAAAAAACATCATGCAGTTGTTGGGTGAAGGTGGCCTGGGTGTCAAGCACAGGAAGGAACTGGTGGAGGTGGGATGGAGAGAAGGTGGTGACTGGGAAGACTCTTTGATGAGTGCCAAAGTCCAGTATTTTATGATCACATTGTGCTAGGTATTCACACATCATAGATTTAGTATTTCACATGAAATTTGCTTTTTTGTAGCTACTGGATGTCACTGAGGAGTATGAAGCAGCAAAGTGCTGTGCTGATAGCACTGGTCATATCACAGTGACCTGTATTTTGTGCCAGTGAAACTGTCCTGTGTAAGGTGCCTTTGCTCCATGAGGAGCCAGTATTGGTGTAGTGTCACATGGTCTTCCTTGCAGATGGGTTGGTGGCTGGCAGAATGCAAGAAAGAGGCCAAGGGGGTATTAAACACTGTGGCTTTGTGTGTGCACAAGAGGTGAGGGAGGTTGTGGTGGCAGTGCAAACATGAGTGTGGGTAGCAGAGGTGTTGCAAGGCAGGTGCAAGCTGCCAGCGTGTTCTTTGCCCCCTTTCCTCTGCTTGTCGTGTGACAGAGGGGTGCAAGCCTTGTCTCAGACACCCTCTGGGCTGAAGGGCAGCCGGTGACGGGTCCCTCTTTCAGCCCAAGCAGCTCTTCTGGAGTGGGGACTGCACCCGGCGGTGCCGCTGCTTCCGGCGCAACCTGATCCAGTGCGACCCCCGGCACTGCAAGTCGGACGAGGAGTGCGCGCTGCGCAACGGCGTCCGCGGCTGCTTCAGCACCCGCAGCTCCTTCTGCCTGGCGGCCGGCGGCGGCGTCTTCCGCACCTTCGACGGCGCCTTCCTCCGCTTCCCCGCCAACTGCGCCTTCGTCCTCTCCACCATCTGCCAGAAGCTGCCCGACTTCTCCTTCCAGCTCATCATCAACTTCGACAAGTGGTCCTCGCCCAACCTCACCATCATCTCCCCCGTGTACTTCTACATCAACGAGGAGCAGATCCTCATCAGCGACAGGAACACTGTAAAGGTGAGGTCTTGTCTGAGTGGGGCTGGGAGGGGATAATGGGTGGCAGTCCAGGCTGCACAATGGTCTGCACAAAGACCCCAGACTACTGTCAATGTTTTCACAGATGGTGCAGTGGGAAGTGGCTGTGGAATCTTTTATGAGTGGCTCATGCCCACATCCATAGGCAGAGATATGGGAGGGACATCAGCTCTGTGTCCTTCTCTCACGCTAGGTGAACGGAAGCCTCGTGAGCATCCCCTTCGTCACAGGGCTGTCCACCAAGATCTTCAGCCAGGAGGGCTTCCTGGTCATCGACTCCAGCCCCGACATCCAGATCCGCTACAACGGCTTCAACGTCATCAAGATCACCATCGGGGAGCGGCTGCAGAACAAGGTGTGCGGCCTCTGCGGCAACTTCAACGGCGACCGCACCGACGACTACGCCACGCTGCGGGGCAAGCCGGCCGTCAGCAGCGTGGTGCTGGCACAGAGCTGGAAAACCAACGGCATGCAGAAGAGGTGAGTGGGCAGCCAGCCCTTTCCCACCAGCTGGGAGCGGGAATGGGAGCAGGGCTGGCCGTGAAAGGAGCCCCCACTACGTGTCCGATGCCCACAGCTGCAACGAGCTGCAGTACTCGCAATACGCCGCCTCCTGCGACAACGTCCAGATCCAGGAGCTGCAGAGTGACAGCTACTGCCTGAAGCTGACCGACATGAAAGGCTTCTTCCAGCCCTGCTACGGCCTCCTGGACCCGCTGCCCTTTTATGAGTCCTGCTTTCTGGATGGCTGCTACAACCACAAGAAGGTCCAGCTGTGCGGCTCGCTGGCTGCCTATGGAGAAGCCTGCCGGACCTTCGGCATCCTGGGCACCGACTGGATCGAGAAGGAGAATTGCTGTAAGAGAACTGGGGCTGCTCAGGTCGAGGGGAGCCGTGTCCCACTGGGGAGAGGGGCTAGAGGTGGCTGCCTCATGGTCTGAGGGTAAAGGTTGTGTTTGTGCTGTGTCTTGTGCTGTTTAGCAGGAGTGGTGGAAGATCCCTGCGTGGGCGCCGACTGCCCCAACCGCACCTGCGAGCTGGACAACGGCGGGGAGCTGTGCGGCTGCATCGAGCCCCCGCCCTATGGGAACAGTGAGTCCTCTGCTCCTGGCCCTATGGGAACAGTGAGTCCTCTGCTCCTGGCCCTATGGGAACAGTGAGTCCTCTGCTCCTGGCTGTGGGGTCAGTGCCGAGCTCCACCTTGGGCCATTATGCCACAGGGGCTTTGGGAAGGGATGTGCTGAGGGCTGTGACCTCTGCCAAGATGGGTTTTGCTGACCGTGCACAGTTCAGGAGGGGAGCAGAGAGCAGGGAACAGCTTTTCTGGGGTGCTCATTGTGGGCATCTCTGGTTTGGGAGCACTTTGAGCAGCAGAGATGTAAGATGGGCAGAGCACACCACAGGAGATGATTCCAGCCCATTTCTAGTGGATGAAAGAAGTGCCAAGGGGCCATTTGTGGTGGTCTGAAGTTGTGTCATCTCCTCCAGCCACCCACGACATCATTGATGCGGAGGTGACCTGCAAGGCTGCCCAAATGGAGGTGTCCATTTCAAAGTGCAAGCTGTTCCAGCTGGGCTTTGAGCGTGAGGGCGTGCGAGTCAATGACCGCCACTGCCCCGGCATCGAAGGGGAGGACTTCATCTCCTTCCAGATCAACAACACCAAAGGCAACTGTGGCAACTTGGTGCAGGTGAGCTGGGACATGGGCACACAGGGCTGGGAGTGTGGGACAGTTCACTGCAGCCCAGCTCAACTCCAGGGACAGAACAGTGCAATTGATGCTTGGGAGGTGCTTTAATGGGCTGGGGGTCAAGGAGAACACAGGAAGGTTTTGTAGAGTAAGGACGCAATTCCAAGCCCCACCATTCCATACCCTTTCTGGACAGAGGTGGAGGGGCAGCAGGTCCCTTGTCACACAGCTCATTTAGAGGTGCTCATTAGGAGCAGGGAAGTGGGAACAGCTGGAATTAAGCAGTGCCCTGTGTTCCCTCTGCAGTCCAACAGCACTCACATAGTGTACAAGAACACGGTGTGGATCGAGAGTGCCAACAACACGGGCAACATCATCACCCGGGACAGGACCATCAATGTGGAGTTCTCCTGTGCCTATGAGCTGGACATCAAGATCTCCCTGGACTCAGTTGTGCGGCCGATGCTCAGGTAGGAGCAGGGCCTGTTACACAGACGGGTGAGGCAGTGCTGGTTCTGAAGCCAGGCAACAATTTGGGGGTTCAAAACCTTTCCACCAACTGAGCCAGTGTTTCTTTGTCATTGTTAGTGTAATTAACCTGACGGTGCCGACACAGGAAGGGAGCTTCACCACCAAGATGGCTCTGTACAAGAACTCATCCTACAAGCACCCGTACCGGCAGGGCGAGGTGGTGCTCACCACCCGGGACGTGCTCTATGTGGGGGTCTTTGTGGTGGGGGCCGACTCCAACCACTTGATCCTGATGCTGAACAAGTGCTACGCCACCCCCTCGCGGGACAGCAACGACAAACTGCGCTACTTCATCATCGAGGGAGGGTGAGCTACCACGAGCCCCATTGGTTTTCATGGTGTCTGGAAGGGTGGTGGCATCAGCTGGGACAAGGACCTTTAGGCCAATGGGATGGTTGATCAAAATCTGGAAAGGGGGAGGAGCAGTGTTGTTAGATCAGGAGTTAATTTGCTTGGTGTAGACACAGCCAGAACCCCTGTGTGTGACAGAGTACCAGGTGCAGAGAGAAGCACTTTCCTTGTGTCCATGGTGCTGTGGACAACACCTAACTACAGGAGAAGGGGGATATGGATCATGCACAGGCATTTTGGGAAGTTGGAAACGCCAGAGAGAGGTGACAGAGGCAGGGCATGACACCCTTGTCCAGACAAGCCATGGCAGGGTCTAAGCACCTCACTGTGAGACCTGGGGTGAGGGGCCTTATGGGGACAGGGAGGGTCCCAGTCACAGGAGGGTGGTGCTGAGCATCAGTGCTTTGCACAGGTGCCAAAACATGAAGGACAACACCATTGGCATAGAGGAGAACGGGGTGTCCCTGACGTGTCGCTTCCACGTCACCGTCTTCAAGTTCATCGGGGACTACGACGAGGTTCACCTGCACTGCGCCGTGTCCCTCTGTGACTCCGAGAAATACTCCTGCAAAATCGTGAGTGGGGCGAGTGCAGAGGGAGGGGGTGCTTGGTTTGAAGGGCTCTTCCAGAGCGCAGTGAGCCCTGATGGTGTGGCATGGGACAGGTGACCAGAGGAGTAGCAGATGGGAGGGTTGTGTGTCCCTCTGGGCATGGGGAGGAGATGCTCTGTCACAGGCAGATCACCCTGGGACCTGTGGGAGCCTGTGGGAGCTGGGATCTGGGACAGGTGGAGGGGCACAGAGGGGGCCTGGGCAGAACTGAGGGTGACAGAGGTGGTGTTTATCCCCAAACAGAACTGCCCTCAGCACACGAGGATGGCCAGCGCCTTCGCCGAGGAGTCCAAGGAGCAGATCCTCTCAGTGGGGCCTATCCGGAGGAAGCGTAAGTGCGGGACCCCAGGGAAGGCTGGGGGGTTTGTCTGCCATCCCAGCCTCAAGCAGACAAGGATCAGGGATTGGGAGCATGGCTCAGGTGTCCCCCTTTTGCTGTTTGTGTCCAGGATCAGACTGGTGCGAGGACAACGGAGGCTGTGAGCAGATCTGCACGAGCCGGGCAGACGGGCCTTTGTGCAGCTGTGTGACAGGGACGCTGCAAGGGGACGGCAAGAGCTGCAGGGGCAAGTACCGGGGTCGGGGTGGGCACAGCAGGGAGCTGCCACCCCCAAACCGAGGGGCTGTGGGGTGAGCAGCATGGGGAAAGGGGCTGGGACGTGTGGCGTGCTGCAGACAGAAGGGGTGTGGAGGGCAGCGAGCCAGATGTGCCCTGTCCCTGTCACCTGAGGGCTGTGAGGGCACTGCTGGCAGGTTCAGAAGAGCTGGCAGGCAGCTCCAAGGGAGGTGATGCTGCCTGCATGGTACAGGGCAGGGTAGAGTAAATGCAGTGGTCTGGGAGCCCAGCAGTGAGGTCGGGCATTTGGGTGGGCACCAGCCTGGCATGATTTGAAGGGAATCTGTGTGGGAGGCACCCAGAACCCCAGCTCACATGGATTTTGTTGTGTTGGCAGCCTCCAGCTCTTCAGGGGAGCACCGTGCCCGAGTGACCCTCCTGCTGGCAGCCCAGCTGTGGCTGTGGCTGCGCTCGGCCCCGCGGCCCCTGACCTCGTAGGCGCGGCCCCGCCGCCCAGCCAAAAACTGTTCTCGCGTCAGCCTGAGTCTTTGTAGGGTAGGAGACAGCCCCCCCGCCGTGGCCACGCTGCTGCCCACCCGGCCATGCTGCGAGGAGGCAGAGGGATGTCACCTGAGAGAGGTGGGACGCGGACCCGACGGTGACATGCAGCCGGCACAGCGACGGCGAGACTGAGCGGGATGTTTGCCAGCAGCGATGTGGGACTGGGGTTTGGGGTTTTTTTTTTTACAGCTTTCCATCATTGATGTGGACTCAAGCAGGGGTTTTGCAGCTTTTTTCCCAGGCTCTCCCTTGTGGGGTGCACTGAAGGTGGCCCACGCCACTGTTGGCAGTGTGGGATGGGGTGGAGCACGTGCTGTCCCCTCAACATGGACAGCTCCCACTGTCCTTGGGAACTGCCACCAGGGTCTTATGAGCTCACAGACTCAGCCAGAGGTAGGTGTTGGGGCACAGAGCAGTGCATTGCCATCTCTGGATGACGTGACACCTTGGGACCGTGTCACCCTCTGACTCTCTGGAGCAGAGGTGGTGCTGAGGTTTGGTTCAGAGAGCCAAACTCATCCATGGGGCTCTGGAAATCTTGGCATTGTGCTGTGGTGGTGACAAGCTGGTGCCAATAATTGGAAAGAGGTGCTTTCTGGTGGGCAGGAACGAGAGTCAGAGGAAGGAGGGACAAAATTCCCTGCTGTGTTTGTGTGGTGTGCAAGGGTTGAGGGTCAGAGCAGGGTTGGGGTCTGCGGGCACAGGGCAGCATTGGGGTGCCTGGTGAAAGAGTGGGGAGCAGCCTTGGGTGCTGGTGGGTGCGGGGGGCTGTGTTGGTGTCTTGTTTTGTGTTTGTACTCTGTGAAACGGCTGCGTGGGAATAAAAAGTGTTGTAACCCTTCGTAAGCACCGGCTCCTGTCTGATGGGGGCGAGGAGCAGTGGGGCCTGGAAGGACACCAAGGCTGCAAAGAGTCCCAGGGAGGGTGGACAGGGAGTTTTGGGGTGCCAGGCAGGGGCACACCAGAGCTGAGGGCAGGGGTCTTGGCTGGAGTGTGGGTCTGACAGGTTTGCCATGGCATGGGCTGGGATGTAGGGCAGAAGGAGCAGAGGAGATTTGGGCTCTGGGGCAGGAGGGCAGCTGGTTCCTCTGCCTCAAGACAAGAGGTGGGTAACAGGATGTCATGGACTCTGCTCTGCTTGTTCTCTGCCTCCAATTCCCTCTCTGTCCCCTCTGTGTGTGTGTTAGCTTTGAGTTCTTTTCTTCACCCATCTTTTCTCCCTGTGATTGCCTCTCTGCTTTCTGCTGCCTCATTCCCCCCATCTCTATTCCTCTTTGCTCTCCTGTCTCTGCTCCCTCTGTCCTCACTCTCTGTCCTCTCTGTGCTTCTCTGCCATCCCTCTCCTGTCCCCTCTCTGCTCCCTCTCAGTGTCACTCTCAGCTCTCCAGTGTCACTCTGTCTCTCTGCCTGGGACTGTTTGCTCTTTGTGCCTCTTTGCCCTCTCTCTCCCATATTTTCTCTCTATCTCTGTGCCCTCTGCACCTCCCTCTTTGCTCTCCAGGTCTCCCATCTCCTCCTGCAGTCTCTCTTTGCCCCGGGCCATGTCTCACCCTTATCTCAGCGTTAATTAATGAACTGCTGAAGGACGGCAGCAGTGTGGGTGTGCTGCACCCGGGGAGCTGCCTGAGGGCTGCGGGGGGAGCCCCGAGGATGGAGAGCATCCCCGGGCACTGCAGGGCTGATGGTGCTGGGCAGGTGGGGAAACAACACGGGGGGTGGTGGGGAGCACCGCAAGGGCTGCTGGTTTTCATGGTTTTCTTTGGCTCTTAAAGGGTTCGGCAGATTGTGCAAAGAGCGATGGTGAGAGGAGTGTGGGATCACACTGACCACAGGGCTGACCACAGCCCTGACCACAGCCCTGACCACATCACTGACCACAGCCCTGACCACAGATTCATGGACTTAATTATCCTGGAATCACCTCAGTTTGGTTTGGAAGAGAAAGAGACCTAAAGCTCATCCCATCCCACCCCCTGCCAAGGCAGGGACACCTTCCACTGTCCCAGGTGGCTCCAAGCCCCATCCAGCCTGGCCTTGGGCACTTCCAGGGATCCAGATCTTCTCTGGGCACCCTGTGCCAGGGCCTGCCCACCCTCCCAGGGCAGAATTCCTTCCCAAAATCCCATCTAACTCTGCCAGCTTTCACCCCAAAGCAGAGCTGGCTTTTGCTACTTGAAATCCAGACTAGTAAAACTGATCCTGGGATATCAAACTCTCTTTGCTCTTAAGCTCTTCAGGATGTAATTTAGTGCTTCAAAACCAACCTGATCAGATGGAGAAGCAAAATTAGCAGCTGTCAGATGGCCTAGGGTAAATCTAACCATGGGGGCTCAATTGGGATGATGGAAATGTGACTCAAAGGCTTTCACATGCTACAGCTGTGTTTAAAAAGAAAAAAAAGAAAAAATGCCTTAAACCCACTATTCCAACTGCATATTTTCTTTTGCAGACTCCTGGCTGATTTAGCCCAAATTTATTAAAGAGTAATTAATTATTTGTGTATTAATGATAATTAAAACCAAACCCTGGGCAATGGGTGCTGTTAATGCTAGCAGTCCAATAAATTTGGTTTAAAGTTTCAAACACTGTTGGTGTCTTTTACATCCACCCAAGCTCTGCAGCTTCAGAGGGTGACGGGGTTGGGGGACAGAGGGAAACAGATTCAGCCAGAGGGGACAGAGCTGGAGAGCTCTGAGCTGCTCCAAATGCACAGGAATTCCATCAAAGGGGGCACAGGAGGAGCTGCCAAGCAGGGGAGCTTTGTCAGGAATAACTTTGTTCACTCTAAGGAACCCAAATGAGCAAGAGAAACCCCAAATTATTCATAACTGACATCAAATAAGCCCCAAAAAGATGCAAAGTGACCCCAAAGTGGGTGGAGAGAGCGAGTTTGACCTCAAGAAACCCTGATGACCTATAGGAACCCCTAGTTTTAATGGTTGACTTCTAGTAATATCAAAAGTGAGCTAAAGCAACCCCAAAATTTTCTGGGGAGAGTGAGTTTGACCTCAAGTAACCCCAAATTTTAATTGTGGCCCTCTAGCACCCCACAAAATGCTGAAAGTAATCCTAAAGTGCTCTTCATATAGTGAGTTTGACTTTAACAAACCCAAGCTAATTAAAATTGGGGGTTATTATATCATCTATACCTATCTATATATCTATAAATATATATCTATATATCTATAAATATATATCTATATAATCTATAAATATATATCTATAGATATAGATGTAGATATTTATATATATATACACATATATATATATTTCCCATATATATTTGAGAAATATTTTTTGAGACTGAGGGGTCAGCAGGGAAGAGGCCCAGGGTGCGCAGAATTCCCCAAAATTTCCCCAAATTCCCCAAAATTCCCCTCCGGTAGCGCTCGCAGGGACCCGAGGATCCACCCCGGAGCTCCGCCCCTCCCAGACCACGCCCAACTCCAGGCCACGCCTCCGACCACGCCCCAGCCAATGGCTACGCCCCATCCCCATGGCTCCGCCCCTTTCACCCGCTGACGTCACCGCCCGAGGTGGCGCGAGCTCTCCCTCCGGTGACGTCACGTGGCGCTACCGCTTGGCCCCGCCCCCGCGCCGCGCCGCTCCGGGACCCCGGGCAGGTAACGGGATCGGGGGTCGGGGTGCCGGGTTTGGGGGGCCGGGACGGGGCTCACGGAGCGGGGACACCCCCGGCAGGGCCCCCGCCGGCCGCCAGCGCCGCCCTGCCCTTCCCAGCCCCCCGCGCTTCCGTCCCCGCCGCCGCTGGCCGTGCCACCTGCGGCTCCGGGCACGGGGACCCCGCCTTGGGCACCCACCTGCCCGGGGAGTCCCGCAGGGCACGGGACGGAGCCCCGTGCGCTGCCCCAGAAGGGGTTTTGCACCCCAGACCCACACGCCGGTGTGGCCCGTCCCGCTGCCCGCTGTCCCGTGCCATAAGGCGACAAGGCATGGAATTTGGGGAGTCCCCACTCCTGCTTCACACCCGCAACCTGCTGGCCCAGATTTGCTCCCCAGCCCCGGCCACGGCGATCCAACCAGACGCACAGCATGCCAGCCCTGCCCACATCCTGGCGGGCACCCGATTCCCCGTGTCCCTGCGGCGCTGGGCAGGGACACCTCGGAGCACTCACAGCAACTCCCCTTCCCTGCAGGAGCCGCCATGGATCTGGTGCTGGAAGCCGCGGACCGGCACCTGCTGACCCCCTACGTGTACCCGGCGGGGTGGCCCGAGGGCGAGCCCTGCCGCCAGCTCCTCAGCCTTTTTGTCATCACCAACCTGGGCGCCCTCGCCCTCTACCTGCTCTTCGGCACCCTCAGCTACTACTTCATCTTCGACCACGAGCTCAAGAAACATCCCCAGTTCCTGGAGGTGGGTGTGCCTTGCTGACCCCTCACCCTGCGTGGCACTGTGCCCCTCGCCACCCCCTTGTCCATTCCAAATGTCACCTGCCAGCGTTGTGGCATGCTGTCACATCCACCCCTCTCCGCCTGCTGTTGCCCTTGGTCATCCCTGACCAGTAGCAAGTGCCACAGCCCACTGACCCCAGCACCCAGCCCTGCCCCAAGCACAGCTGGCCCCATATGAGCAGCACCATGGCACAGGTGCCACGACAAAGGGGTGGCCAACACGCCAGCCCTCCCAGCCTTATGGGGGGCACTGGGGCTCTCAAAATGTGCCCTGTGCCCCTGATCCCTCTTGCCATGCCCCATAGAACCAGGTGAGCCAGGAGATGTCCCCTGACCTCTCTTGCTACACCCCACAGAACCAGGTGGAGATGTCCCCTATGCCCCCTGACCCCTGTTGTCACACCTCACAGAACCAGGTGGAGATGTCCCCTTTGCCCCCTGACCCCTCTTGTCACACCCCACAGAACCAGCTGGAGATGTCCCCTGTGCCCCTGACCCCTCTTGTCACACCCCACAGAACCAGCTGGAGATGTCCCCTGTGCCCCTGACCCCTCTTGTCACACCCCACAGAACCAGCTGGAGATGTCCCCTGTGCCCCTGACCCCTCTTGTCACACCCCACAGAACCAGCTGGAGATGTCCCCTGTGCCCCTGACCCCTCTTGTCACACCCCACAGAACCAGCTGGAGATGTCCCCTGTGCCCCTGACCCCTGTTGTCACACCCCACAGAACCAGGTGAGCCGGGAGATCGCCTACGCCGTGCGCTCCCTGCCCTGGATCAGTGTCCCCACCGTGGCCCTGTTCTTCGCCGAGGTGCGGGGCTACAGCAAACTCTACGACAACATCGAGGACTCCCCGTATGGTGAGTGACCTCCTGGCACCCCCTGCCACAGCAGTGGCCTCTCCCCACCTGGGTCACCTCCCTCAGCCTCCATTTCTCCCGATGACAACCCTAGAAATCCTCCTGGGTACCTCCTGTCCCAGCCTGTCAGCCAGAAGCCCAGGCTCTCTGCAGAAGAGGCACCCAGGGTCGTGTTCCCCTGCTTGACACACTCCACCCTCCACAAGAGATCCTTCCCTTCCCTTCACTGGCACGGCTCCCAGTGAAACAGCACCTGACTCGCTTGCCCTGAGTCACAGGGCACAGCCTGGCACTCTCACCTCAATGGGGCAGACCCTGGCAAGACTCACATGTGTCTCCCACCACGAGGACCATTGTGGAGACCCTCACATCCTCCTGATGCCCACATGTGCCACCTCTAACGACCCTGTCCCCCCCCAGGCTGGTCTGGTGTCTTCCTCAGCATGCTGTCCTTCCTCTTCTTCACTGACATGGGCATCTACTGGATACACCGTGGTCTCCACCACAAGCTGTTTTACAAGGTATGGGACAGGACAGGAGGCTCTGGACAAGAGTCCTTGTCCTGCTCTGGTGACATTTCCAAGCTGCTCCTCCCAGGGGATGCATGCTCGGGTGGGAATGGCTGAACAAGGCATCACCATGTGATGGGAGCTGAGAGCCCTTTAGGGCACGTGTTCCCCTCTCAGTTTGGGTGGTGATGGCCCACACAGCATCCCTTGGGGCCATGAATCTGGCTGGGGGACCCTCTAGAAGGGCCCACCCCGACTGACACCCCCTGTCCCCGCAGCGCTTCCACAAGCCCCACCACCTGTGGAAGATCGCCACGCCCTTCGCCAGCCACGCCTTCCACCCCGTGGATGGCTTCATGCAGAGCCTGCCCTACCACATCTACCCCTTCCTGTTCCCCCTGCACAAAGTCACCTACCTGGGCCTCTACATCTTCGTCAACGTCTGGACCATCTCCATCCACGACGGCGACTACCGCGTGCCGCGGCTGCTGCGGCACGTCATCAACGGCTCTGCCCACCACACCGACCACCACCTGTACTTCGACTACAACTACGGGCAGTACTTCACCCTCTGGGACAAGATTGGGGGCTCTTACAAGAGCCCCACGTCCTTCGAGGGCAAAGGCCCCCACGATTACCTGCGCAAGCTCCGAGAGAAAGACTCGGTGGCGTCCAACGGCATCGGGGGCTCCAAGAAAGACCCGGGAGCATCCAACGGCGTCGTGGCCTCCAAGACTGAGTAGGCTTCCTCCAAGTGTGTCCCTTCTCTGGCTGGATCTGGTCCCATTCCTCACCAGCCACCCAAGACTGTTTCCCACGGACAAAGAGCCCCTGTCCCTGATGACGTGACCAGCGTGGGGTGATTTTTGGTGAGCGCGGCATCCAGCCTTGCTCCACACCACAGATCTGCCCTGGTTTCCCTACTGCTTCCCCTCCCAGCTCCCTTTGGATCTCTGCTAAGGTCCCTGCGCTGCTTTTAGTGCTGTGCTGCTGCTTTACAAGAAGAATAACATGGCACAAATAGAACAGTAACGTGGCACAAATTAATGTGACTCGCGTCAGGGTCTTTGTTCCACTGCTGCGCCCCTTTGTTGACGATTCCTTGTTCCCATCATGGTGTCCATCGGGACGAGCTGTATTTTGGAAAAAAACCCTACCTTTTGGAGGTGGTGTGGCTTCTTCTGATGGCTCCCTTGGTGGGACTCCTTGCACTCAACCTCCTTCCTCTTGCCCGGGGATGTCCCATGGAAACATCATGCCTGTAGGACAGAGGCAGGCTTTGAGTCTTGTGGGTCTCTCGAGCTCCCTGAGAGCACTGAGGGGGAAGGGAGGAGGACCAGGCTCCCAGATATGAGGGGAAGGGGCTTCTCCGCACTCAAAGGTTCGTGGCCAGCTTCCCCCTTAAGGGCCTGTGTGTTTCCTGCTGAAATCTGGTCACTCCATCTTTGGGGTGACCCATTTTCAATAAATCTCAATTGCCAACTTGCCTGTTTGGTCCCTTCTGCCTGACTCATGCAAAGTCTCCTGCGGCATCCTATTTCTGCCCTACAGCACCCATGAGGGACTTGGCACAGAGCCGTGCTGTGCTGGCAGCAAATTTGGGCCAAAACAGCAGAAGATGGGTAAAACACAGAGTGGCCAGAGCCACCTGCAGTGCCCCAAACCTCCTTAGGTGTCCCTGCACGGTGACACCTGTGCTTTCCCCCTCGCTGCTCCCCCCATTTCAGCAGTCCCTGGAGCCCTGCTGCCCTTCCTGGGGATGGAGCCCCTTCTGTGGTGACAGCCCCTCTGCTCCTCGCCCAGCCTCAGCTGTCCCCAGGCAGGGGGACACACCCTGCCACTCCTGTGGCACCTGTTGGGCACAAGGGACACCTGCCAGCACGGTCACGCTCTGCCTTCACCTTTTCACCAGCCCATCCCAAGTTGCTCTCCCCACGTGGACAGCACCCCTGACCCCAGTTTGCTGATTAACCTGGGGCCTGGGGTCAAGGCACAGCCCAGATCAAACACGGTGACAGCATCACTGATTGGCCGCCCTGATTCCCAATCTGCTCTTGGGAAAGGTTCTCATCACCCCATCCTCCCACCTTAGCCAAGCCTGGGCACCCCATCCTGGCAGCCTGGGGACAGACAGTGACCCTCACAGGGCAGGGCAGTCAAGTCCTAGGATGAAATTGCATCACTCTGGTGCCCAGTGCACCCTCCCACCCTTCTGCGTGGCATTCCCCCGGGATGGATCTGCAGCAGCCCAGCTCCGGGCACAGGGAATCGTGTCCTGCGGGTCACCCCCCTGCCAAGGCCACCGCGGTGGCCTTGGGGCTCGGTGGCACGGAGAGCAGCAGCTCTGGCTCCGGTCCCCTGGTGCTGCTGTTGCCACAAGATGGGGATGTTGCTCACCACAGCCAGCGCTGGAGCTGCACCTGCGTGGATGCCCTTCCTCCTCCTCCTCCTCCTCCTCGTTCCCCCAGCGTGGAGCAGGAGGGGCTCTCTTGGAGGACACACATGGGGTGTCCCTGCTCTGCTCCATGACCCCATTCCTCACGCTTTTCCTGGCATCAGAGCCGTTTCTGCTGATTTATCTGCAATAGCCTCCCCGACCCACCATTTCCTCCCCCCACACGATGCTCTGCCACTCACCAGGGCAGTGCACCCTTGCACCACACACTGAACATCCCCCTCACAGGAACCCCAGCACACCAAGTGACCCCTGGTGTGTGAATGCAGCCACTGGGTGCCTCTGACACAGCCCTGAGCCCTGCAGGAAGCCCTACAACCATCATCATCCTCTGAGGAAGGCTCTGAGGCCAGTGCCATGGGTCGTGTGGCGTCTTTGGCTCCTGGCATCGCTGTTCTGCTCCCTGATTCAGCTCCAGCAACAAGCAGTGGCTCCTTTAAGCAGCTTTGCTCTCTCTGTGAGGCTTTGTGGGAACGGCTGTTGCAGCCCCTCAGCCCCCAAACCCTCTGGGACCTCTAAAGCTGAGACAGGGAAAGGTCTCAGGGAAGAGGGGAAGGAAAGCAGGGGGCCAGGGGCTCCTCACCTTGCTCTTGGAGTTCACAGCTTTTGCTGCTGATGAAATCCAGATGGACCTTAAAATAAACTCTGCACTGTTCCCCTCTCCCCTTTACGGCTCTTTTCAAGAAACAAAAAAATACCTTGGCAAGGGAAACGTGTGCTTCCCTGCACAAAGAAAGAGCCACTCATCTGTGAGCATTACCAGGGCTGGGCTCACCCAAGAGCTGCTGGCTAAAGCTCTCTCCCTGTGCCCACCACAGGGAGCTCACAGGGGCACAGGGATCCTTCTTGCACCCTGTAAGAAGTGTGAAAAAAGAGCTGGAAGAGAGACAGCAAACCCCCCAAACACCATTTTCCTCCATTTAGCACCTCAGCAAAGGCAGTTCCTCATTTCCTCCTATTTCTTAGCCTATTCCTGTTGTAGTCTGAGCTTGCTTTACCTTTCTCCTAATCCTGTTCACAAAGAAATAAACACACTAACGATCAACCAACAGCAAAACCCACCACACTCACCAGCACATTAGTTAGAAAATCTCAAAATTAAAAACAAAATCTAAAATTAACAAACCAAAATCACTGCAATTCCTCATGTCCAGGTCCTTTTTGAGTCCTTCTCATCTGGCCCAGAGAGCAACTGGCTGCAGGGATTCCCACACAACAAAACTCCCTCACTGACTCTGCCCAGAGCCACGGTGACCTCCTGTCCTCCAGGGGCACATCACTCTGAGTCAAGACCTCTAAAAGCCTTATTAGGAGGGCTTATAATGGTATTGACCCGATAATTGAAATACACTAACTGGGTTTCTAGGTGAAAGCACCTCGGGGAAAGCTCTGGACAACGTTTCTGCTATTAAGGCAAGTGGAAAAAGGAGAAGCAAGACTGCCTTGGGGCTGTCCATGGGATTTACAGGCTCCCATTCCTTCACTGCTGGGCCACATCCATTTTCTTTGTTGGAAATGCTGGAATGAGAGGCAGAGGGGTTGAAGCCATCAGTGTGTTCTCAGTACCCTGGAGACACAAGAGGCCTCAGCCATTTCTTAGCAGCAAGATCATGCCTAAAAATCACTTCTGCAGGAGATGAGGCTTGGTTGGCTATGCAGGGACAGCACAGGAGTGATGCCAGTGGCCACAGCTCTGATTTATTGGGGCAGCTCCAAGTGCTCCCCTGGTCACTGTGCATCCCTTCAGAAAGCAATTTAGAGAGACAAGCTGGGGCTGAGCAAGAGGCACAGCTCACCTTTCCTGTCATCTCCCAGTGCCATTTGAATCTCCTGCCTCAAATCCCTGCTCCCCCTTCCCACCCTGCTCTGTAACACCCGGGACACACGCGAGCCCCAGGCAGGGATGGGATAAACTGCTTTCTGAAGGGATGGACAGTGACCAGGGGAGCAGCACCAGGGCAATCCCATGCCTGGGAGTCCAGCACTTTGAGCTGCACCAATAAATCAGAGTTGTGGGCACTGGCATCACTCCTGTGCTGTCCCTGCATAGCCAACCAAGCATCACCTCCTGCACTTTGGTGAGTTATGGGCATGTTGCCTGTGCCAAGTGTTCTGTGGGAAGCACACGGCCACTGGCACAGCTCAAACCCACCTGCCACGGGTGGGAGAGGTGGCAGAAGGCCCTGGACAGACCCTGAAGGTCTCTGGATTCCTACTCCCACCATGTCTTGCTCACCTTCCCAGCTCTGCCCAGGTAAAAAGAAGGCAGAAATTGAGAGATTTTCCACTGTCCCAGGTTGCTCCAAGGCCCATCCAACACAATTCCAGGGATGCAGGGGCAGCCACAGCTTCTCTGGGCACCCTGTGCCAGGGCCTCACCACCCTCACAGGGAGGAATTCCTTCCTAACATCCAACCTAACCCTACTCTTTGCTAGTTTGAAGCCTTTCCCCTTTGCCCTGTCACTCCACACGCTCCTGAACAGCCTCTTTACTTCAACACAGTTTCCTTTCATTCAGCTCCCTTCAAGTCGATTTCCGGCATTTCACAGAAATTAACTCGAACTCATTATTTCACCCCATCTCGACGCGAAGAGAGGGAGAGGGAGAAAAAGAAGAAGAGGAGAAAGAGCAGGGGAAAGGCGAGGGAGAGGAGATGCAGGGCTGAGGGGGGCCGAGATTAAGCCCATTTCACAGACATCCACCAGAACTTATTCCACCCCACCTCGCCGGGGAGCCGAGCATCCTCCGGAGGGGGCGAAAAACACGGAGAGGGAAGAAAAAGAGGAAGAGGGAAGAAAACAGCGAGAAGGAGCCGACAACAGAGGAGGGGGCCCGAGCATCCTCGCCCGCGGGGAGCGGCGGGGGGGCCCGCACGGCAGCGCTGCCCATGCACATTCTCTCCGGGCGGCGGCGCGGCTGCCGCTCCTCCCGGCCCCGCTCCGCTCCGCTCCGCTCCGCCCGGCCCCGGCGGCACGAACATGGCGACACGGAGCTCCGGCGGGGCCGGCCGTGCCTGCCCGCTCCCCCGGCGGCTCCTGGGGGCCGCCGCGCCGCGCCGCGCCCGCCCGAGCCCATCCAGGTGTACGGACAGGTGAGCCCGGCGTGGCATGGCATGGTATGGCATGGCACGGGGGGCACCGGCGCGGAGAGCGCCGCGCTCCGTCCATCCATCGCCCGCCGCTCCCCATCCTTCCCCGGGGGTCGCAGGGGTCGGGGCGTGGGGTGGCGGCTCCGTGGGGAGCAGGGGGTGTGCAGGCGCTGCGGGCTCGCCCCGCATCCCCGGCTGGCCGCTGGCACTCGCGGGCTCGTCCCCGGCGGGATGCGCTCCCGGAGGGAGCAGCCAAGGGCAGCCGGCGGGGATGGGGGCCGGGCATCGCCGGGAAGGGACGGACAGCGATTCCCTGCGGGAATGCTCGGGGGATGCTCGCCGTGAGCATCCCCGCGCTGGGGAGCCGGGCAGGGGGAGGTGACGCTGTTTGTGACACGGCTATTTGTGACACGGCTATTTGTGACACGGCTATTTGTGAGGCACCGCGTCCTTCCAGCCAGGAGGGCTCCCTGCGTGCCCGAGCCATCCTCCACTCATCCTCGGAAAAGAAGGGGAGCAGAGTTGCTCGCGGCAGGAAAGCGCAGAAACTGCTATTTCTGAAAGTATCCCTGCTCGGGCTCGATTCGCTGGCAAGTTTTGCTGCCAGGACCATGGAGGCTCCCCCTCACCCCTTCTTTTCCATCTCTTTTGGGTGGTGATGACAAATTACACTTTTGGCTGGGGAAAGCTTCAGCTTTTTAAAGGTTCTGCTTTATTTTTGATGTACCCACATGCTGTCTACACTTGGCTGCCCTACTTGATCCTCCTTGCTGACACTGCCTGTGTCCCCATCACGTGCCCAAAATGCTGTTGGGGGGGAGCAGCCCACAGAAGGACACTTGAGGAGAGGCTTTGAGCCTTGGGTGACATCTGCCTTTGCCTCCTTGGATAGTGCTTTCCCCCCAGGTGCTCTACAATTTCCCCTTTTTGCTACTTGTAGGA